TGCCCGCCTTTGCGACGAGACGTGTTAGATCTGAAAGACAAGCAGCGCAGTGCGCAGACACCTGTCATGTCTCTCAATGGCTTGGATAGTCCCAAGGTTACTGAGGCTTATCAATCAGCATTGACAGAAGCGGGCGGCTGGTCAGTCAACCTCAAGCTGGAAGGCTTATCTGAGAGGGAACGACGCACACCAAGACTGACACCCGTGGTGCACAGGTTCCTGCTGAAATACGCTTCGAGAGACGAGATCGAAGTCTTCGCGCGCGGTAGCCGAGGCGTGGCAGAGGCACGAGCATCAATCGCGCAACACACGGACAAGGCCCCTCTCTACGGCTTTCTCCTCTACCGTCGGCGGAAAGTCCTGATAAAATACCTCCCGGAGGGCACCTCACGGCTGCTGCAAGGTACGTGTCGCAATCCGTTCATCGTTTAGTCGCCGGCGCAGACTCCGCTAACAAATTGCAACAGCACGTGTAGCTGTCCACTTTCAAAGCATTGCCGACAAATTCTTACCTCATGACACAATATTTACTATCAGCTCCTCCGAAGATCTCAATGATTTCACTTTGACTGCAGCATGTTCGCTGCACGCCGCCGCCTCATCGAGCCGCTCGTCCAGTGGCTCTGCGCGGCGCAAGAAGTTGGATGGTATAACAGAGGATGAGGAGGAGGAAAAGCCGGGCACCATAGACCCAGTGCAGGAGGAAGGCACTGTTTCCGTCCTAGGCACAGCTATTATGGGTTCCTTAGTGCCTCCAGAGCTGCAGAGGGTTGATGCGGCACCAAAACGCGTGTCTATTGATCGGCCGCCCATGACACCAAGAGCTAAGACATCCGTCTCCCAGCTGATGCTCGGTGTACTCCCAAGTCCACCCGCTGCCTCGATCAAGGAACATGCAGCCTCCGACTACGCGGCTTCCATAACCTCTCTTGAACAATACAAATCTCGCGTACCGCTGGAAGACCAGTTACGCCTGTCTTCATACGAGGAACGGCCTAACATCTCGGTTACACACGATCATGACCCTTACAGTTACATGTCCGATCAATACGGCTTCAAGCCGAAGATCAAACTAGGTCCGCGTCCAACCACAAATCCAAGAAAACGTCCTCACACCTCAGGGACCGCTTCGAAGGAGCGAGCCATATCAATCCTACCTGCAGGACTCAAAGTCGCACCGCGGAAGCACGACCGGGACCCATCCCCTCGCAATTCCAAAGGGCTGAACCCTGTGCCGAGTATGAGTGTGCCCCCACCACCACCTATACCTAATAGTCCCGAGATATCCATTGTGATGTCTGCACGACCAACGTCCAGTGGAACCGCCAAGTCTCTGCCTGCATCCATCTATGCTAGGTCAACCGGTGTGACACCTGAAAAGCAGCGGCTTGTTAAAGCACTAGAGCTGAGGAGAAAGCGGCAAAGCGCTGCCCGCTCCTTGAAAGCAGAATCCATGGAGGCGCCACCGTCTGTACCATCTATCGCTGAAGAAGAGGGCACGGACGATGCCAGGTTACTTCCGAAGAGCAGTCTCGTAGAAGACACTGCGGTTGCGTCGAGGGCGGGAACATCATTTCTAGGCATGGCCCAGGAAGAGTACGATCCTTTCAACGCATCTCGAGCGCCAATGCCTGTCAGCACAAGGCGTTCGAAACAGCATGGAGACATAGCTATGGTGTATATCTCAGACACTAGGCCGAGAGTGCGAGCTTCAAGGTCTTCCCTTATGGAATGCCAGCTTGCCACCAAAGACTTGGAAGCCCTGGCAAATGAGAGTTCGGCGGAAGATGTGGATCAGTCAAAGGTTGATTCTGGAGTGGACGTTGACTATACCGAGCCGCGGGAGCCAGAGCAGGACGTCTCAACAGTTGCAGCCTCATCACCAATTTCCGACGACTTGACAGACGCTTCTTCCACTCGTCCATCATCCGCATCTGAGATACTCCATCATGATGCGTCACCATCTACAAAAGGCGCCGAGGCAGCGCTCTCGTCCAATCCTGATATGCGTACACCAGAGCCTGCGTTCGAGAGAAGGAAGGAATCCTCACCACAATCCTCGCCTACCGCAACCAGCGAGCCGGTTGTAGCCACTGTCAGAAAAGATGCGGATAGTTCCCTTCAACCGAAGACCGCCAATAATTACGATGTGATTAGACATAGCCTGTTCGTCGGGGGCGGGCACACCATTCATGTTACTGGCTCGCCCACCAAGTCGGAGCACTGGAGCAACAGCCAGACAGGAGAGAAGGAGAAGCGTCGTGGTTTTGTGGAGCCGCTGCACGTCGACTGCAACAGTGCCGAGAACTCAGACGCAGATTATCTTTCAGACGACTCTTTCATGGAGGAGCTGCAGAGCGCAACTGTTGAGGAGGCGAAACCCATGTCTGTATCAATCTCGAGATCTCCGGTCTTGCCTTTCTTTCCAAGGAGATCGAGCTCGGCGCTGTCCGTAGATCGTAGAGTGGCTACAGATCAGGCGGCCAGCATCGAGCCGCGGGCAAGTGAAGATCATCTCTCACCTGAGCCATTTACGGTCAGGGCAACAAGACTGCCACCCGCCTCTTCTTCCCGCCCTTCATCCCCATACTACGAGGCTGTGTCGATAGCCAAGAAGACAAAGGTTTCGACTGGTATATCCAAGAGAATACAAGCCCTGGCGGACAACCTAGATCGAGAGACTCCTGTATCGACCTCACACAGCCCTACAGGGTCGCCCGACTTCTCGAACTCCCTTGTCGCACTCCGCAAATCATCTTTTGCGCAGGAAACGCCGTCCAGACCAGGTTCGTCCGCTGGAATGCACAGATCACGGCCGAGCAAGACTTCGTTCCCATCTGTACTAGCTCCTTCTGACTGTCCCGCGTCCCCCCTCCCGCAGTCATCACCGGCGCCGAAAGACGGCATCTCCACAGTCTACAATGTTCTTCAGGAGAACGACGGGCCAGAGTCCATCTCCGTCACCGCACGCATTGTGCGTGACGGCCGTACAGAGAAGCCCGACCTGACCATGCCAACAGGGGCGACACCACTAGAGCTGCATGAGTGTCCAGTCGTCATCGAACACCAGATAGCGAGCCCTAAGAAATTGACTACGAAGGCCAGCCCCGCGAAGCCGGATGCAGCACTGCCGCTAGCTTCTCCAACAAAGCCAATGAGAGACGGCTCCTCATCTGCACTCCCCAGATCGTCGTCAGAAGTTAGCTGGAAATCATTTGGTCGCCGAATGAGCGAAGCCAAATCCCCGCCGCCATCAAGGTCCGCTAGAAGCATGTCAAACACCAGTCTCAACAGCAGTCTCGATGCTTTCGATGAAGACAACGTTGATGAGAAGAAGCCTTCCAAGGCGAGCCGCCTCTTCAAGCGGATGTCTTCTTCTCTGTCCTCCGCTTCACGAAGAAGCATACAAGTCATCAGCCCGCCAGTTCGGGAAGAAGACCGGGACACCCTAGACACGGCGGAACCACCGAGTGCGGTGGTGATAGGCGACGTGAACGTGCAGTTCCCCGACACGCTGCTGTGGAAGCGGCGATGGGTTGAGATCGATCCCCAAGGCAATCTTCTTCTCAGCCCTTCGAAGGCGAATGAGCATCCCCGAGGCGTCACGAAACGGTACCACATCACAGACTTCCAGCAGCCGTTTGTGCCGGATCTGGACCGGCAGGAGTTGCCGAATAGCGTCATTCTGGATTTTGCAGATGGGAGGTCGCTGCAGTGTGCGGGCGAAGACTACACGACACAGGCGGCTATTCTGAGATGTATGTCTGGCCATTTCACAATCATTGGCATTGTAACTTCTGCTGATATATTGAATAGCGTTGAGAGAGTCCCAACGAGCTTGGAGAGAATTCCAGCAGCTACAGTGACACTACCATCCACGTGATACCCGCATTAAGCTCCAACACGCACGCCCGTAATGTCTTATTATATCTTTTTGTGATACCGCAACACACGCGGTTTGTATACCACTTTTCTCAGCGCCCGCAAAGCGCAGGTTTCACGATCGCAAGACGAACTTCTGCATTTCTGTTTTGAGATGGGTGGGATTAGTCGCCGTCTGTCCGGCTTTCAGAAGGGGCTGGAAAGGGAACGGGGGCCCATCTGTTGTCTTTTTTGCCGCGGCTGTGGGTGAGGGGCGGAGGGTTGGATCATTGTTCTTGAGGATCTGGCGGGGCTGGTGACCCCTTTTTCTCACGGAGGCATCTTAGGTTGCGCTCCAATCATGTCCGGAGGAGAGGGCGCCGAGAAAACCATGTCCGCGTCGAGCTTCTTTTGTACTATACCACTGGCAGGTCGAGGGCTGTACTGCCGATAATGGCGATGAAGGAATCGACAAGAATTCTTTCGGTGCGACGTGCTCCTTGTGTCTATACTAAAATTGCATCATTCGTGCCAGTCCCATTCAGCCTACACCAACTTCCTGCGTTCTACCATCTCAGCCGACGAGAAGTACTTGAGTGTCTTCGTTGCGATCAAGTCCCACGGCTTGAACAGCACGTGACCTTCGAGTTACCAGTCACCATCCACCGCCTAGGGGCCGTTCACCTTTTCTAACCAGCTCGCAACTCCGACTCCCAGCTTCCACAACACACGTAACAGTCACATGGAACACTGGATGATCGTCAACACCAAATGTAACGGCTAGTCTCAGGAACACAGAGAAAGCACAGCGCTCGAGATCGGCAGCGGCAAAGTGTAACAGCGGATAACATGAAGACTCCGAGTCTCTCCAGGGACTATTCCCTCTCACACTGTTCGGACGATGCGCGTGCTGTATGAGTAAAAGATAAAAGATAGTAAACTAAACAGTCAGGAAACAACCCCAGAAGACGAAGTTGAGCACTTCGAAGGAAACATCCCGTTCACTCCTAGAGTTGTATACCGGCATGTCTAGCAATATGTATTACTGCTCTGTGGTCCGCTCTCAGTCACGAACACTGTCAGCACTGGTCATTCCAGAACTAATACTGGAAGAACGGAAGATGTTCCCTGTCTGTAAACTCCCAGATTGCGCCCAGAAGCACACTCACGCGAGACAGGCTCACAAATATCGATATGATCTTCAGGGACCCCTCTAACCATTATGAACGCCAAAGGGCTCAAGACCGCCCGCGGGCGAACACGCGATTAAGAACACTAATCGTGGTGCCTCGTCACTTGACGCAGACTGTGTGGATGAAGGCAATCAACAAGGCATTCCCTATCGTAGAGGGTCGCGAATCGGCGAATTATAAGGCGATACGAGCGCGTGCGTATACAAATGCCAGCGAGGACCGAAACAACCCATATCCCACAATGGATTTATTGGAGTACGAGATCATCGTGACGGATTTTGAGACAGTGCGCAATGAATACGTCAAGACGAAAGCAGCCATTGCTGATAGTAGGGAGCAAGTCTCCCTCCCTATTCTGTCCACCGAGTACCATCGATGTGTGCTAGACGAAGCACACCGGATCAGAAACGGGTCAGCAATAACTATAACTGCGGCAGCAATAAACAAAATCCGATCAACATATCGAATTGCAATGACGGGCACACCATTCAATAACGAGTACACCGACGTGCATGGCCTTATCGAGTTTCTTCGCATTCCACCATGGAACAACCAGCAACTGTTCATTTCATCATTCATGAAGAAGCCTAACGGTCAGAGGGACGTTAAACTGCTGGACGGACCAAGAAACGCTATCCTATCATTGACTCTCCTATCAATGATGGTTCGCTATGTACATGGCGACCAATATTGTCCCCCAGACGGCCCACCCGAATCGATCTTCCCTGAGATCGAATGTGTCCCCATTGTTTCTGAGCTCACTCCGACTGCAGGAGAGAGAGCCGACCAAGAGGCAACGAGGTTCCAGTGGGATGAAGACTACAAGGAAGAGAACAAAGACAGGGGCTCTGATATCACACCGAGTGAGCTCTTTCGGGAGCTGATAAAGGCACGTCTAGCTGCCATACATCCGGAACTACCAAGCGCACGCTATGGAGAGTTCGGCATAGACGACGCCATCGATGATCAGCACTGGCTCCTTGTGGAACTCGCATGCAAGACACCATCAGAACCTCCCCTGAGACACAACTCGAGCAGAGAGGCATTCCGCGCGATGATGGCCGCCTCACCTGGTCGGTGGCGGTCAACAAAAACAACGAGAGCCGTACAGTCGATCAAGGAGCACCTAGGCAAGCGTACCGGCAAGATTCTGTAGGTCAAGATGCAAGCAACAATCGCCGATTGGGAGCTCCTTCGGAATCGCAGCGGGAGAACACACGAGGTTGTCGACAAGAATGGCAAGAGTATCAGTAGGGAGCCAGTCTCCCTCCCTATCTTATCGACTGAGTACCATCGATGTGTGCTAGACGAAGCACACCGAATAAGGAACGGGTCAGCGATGACCGCAACAACATTTGTAATGAACACAATACGTTCGATATACCACCAAGGTCCTCTACCTAGTGGGGCCAGACGGGAAACCAAATCTCGAATATCCACTCGACGCTGCCAGTATCCAGATCCTTCGGACGGGTTCTCCGCCGACTCAAAAGAGGCTGCCCGCCGAGCTGAACGAGATTCTCAAAAGCCTCAAGAACTACACCAAGTTCAACGATTGCAATGACAGGAACGCCATTTGATAACGAGTACGCCAACATATACCCTTTCCTAAACACAGTTCCCGCGATAGCATCAACGCAAGCCAATCACATTCCGGCTCCTGAGCAGCTTAGCTAGTAGGCAATTAGACCTTACTAACGAGGCGCTTTCACGCTAAGACAACCATGTCTAGGCGGTCTACTCTAAACAGCTGTAAGTCGATGGGAGAGTTATCTTCTCCTAAGGGACGTGTTAATAGTCTCTAAATGTCTAGTCACCGGAGTATTAAGAAAAGATATCGAATGTCTCTTGGCCGGTCTAGCCCACCTAAACATTTGGTCACTCTACGCGCGAATACAGCTAGTCAGTCATCGGCGCTTCTCTCAAGTCACGCATACCATTGATCAACGATCAGTAAGGTATACGACGCTGTGGTGTCAGTTCAGAACGCAGTAGCGCCCACCCTGTACAGCAAGTCAACATGGCGTTGCGGGATGCATCGACACGCAGGGAATCATGCACAGAGGCTCAGTTCGCAATCCCGGTAGACCTCACTCCCGTTTATCTCAGAATTAACTGACATCATGTCAGGCCTTGCAGCATGGAGAGGCTAAAATTCGGGACTGAGTACTACAAGTCAAAGCCGCGCCTAGCGAAGGGCAAAGACGTATTCGTCGGCATGCACGACGAGAACGCCTATCTGGAAAAGTCCGCCAAGAGGCGGCGGCACAAAGTGGCAGATCGCAAGAAGAAGAGGGCGGCTTATGATAGACGATCTTGGTCTTCTTCACTTGCTACGAACTATCCCACACCCTCTTCGTCGGGTATCCCTTAATCAGAACATTGGTGCATTCCAAACGACTACACAAATTTCTGCCGCATCTTGCATGGGCGCCGGGGCTCATCGCTCAAGAAGCTCGAACGTAGGTATGGAACAACGAAACGTGACAGTGCTACGAAGCAGCATAGCGCAATGATGCTCTTCAACGGTGCCGTACGATAATGCTGCAAATCTCCACTCAACGGAAGACTCTGACACAGTGGCGAGGCTACTGTCGCCAGAGGCGATTAGTCGACTATCGCGGATGTGTATTGAAATTTGTCAAGGGCCATCCATAGGTATCAATGCCAACGGAGCACAAGTGTAGACACCGGCGTAACGAATAGGCAGCGCTACTTCCGTCGGATAGGTGGTGCAATTGGGTGAAAGTTGTAAGTCGATCGAGAGGAATCGGAGTAATCACGCGATTGCGAATTGCCGGATGTAGCGGACGAAACACCGACGATTATAACTGCGCTCTTAACTACTAGAACTCTGAAATCCTCTACCGTCTGAAAGCTGTGGCGGCAAGACTGATACCAGAGCAGCTTGAACCCTCCCGCGTGTGGACGGATGGTGAACCAAGGTTATCGCCGTCTATGGGGCGTGATGTTACTGGCGCACGCATGATCAGTACCGTATAAAAAAGGTGTGCAAGGCATTCTTTTTGTTCTGTCTAACAAGCTTAAGCCTTTCCGGCTGAATAGCAAACATCCATCTGCCACTCCATAAGCCTGACCGTCTCCTCGACGCCCTCCTCCATAAGCTGAGTCAGGCTCAGCCTCGGTGCTTCCCGCTTGAGATGCTCCAGATAATCGTCCAAGACTAACTTGTTCACATTGATTTTGGATACGCCCCTCTTGATGCAATCTCTCATAGTCTGCTCGCTGAAGCCATTCGTGCCATGCAACACAATCCTCACGCGCTTGTTGGCGAGCTCCCGTATTGTATCAAGCCTGAATAGCGATCATTAGCTGCCACGATCTTCAGTCAGTACTCGTACGGCCAACATACCTGTCAAAATCGAGCTGCGGGCCCCGAGACCCATACTCGCCATGCACGTTGCCGAACGCCGGCGCCAGAAAGTCCACGCCTGTATCCACAAACTCCTCGATCTCCTCCGGCGTCGTCATTACGCCTTCCAAATCCACCGTGTCCGCAATACCATCCTCTCCACCCTCAATCCGGCCCGGCTCGGCCTCAGTCGAGATGCCTCGCTCATGGCAGTACGCCACTAGCTCCCTCGTCTTGGCCAGATTCTCCGCTTTCTCGTGGTGCGACATGTCAACCATGATGGAGTCGAAGGGTAGCGTGTCGGCAGCATGTCGGATCAGAGCTTCGTCTTGGGCGTGGTCCAGGTGGATGGCTATGGGGATGGAGGCGCGGGAAGCAGCATCGGCGGCGGCGCGGATTAGAAGGCCATTCGAGAAGGTGATAGCCCAGGGGAAGACTTGGATGATGAGGGGGGAGCGCTTCTGTTCGGCGGCCCGCACGAAAGCGATGATGTGCTCGATGTTGTAGCTGTTCGAGGTGAGTATGGTGCTGGGTGAGAGTGCCGAGATGTAAGCCTTACGCAATGGCAGCTATTACACCGTATCCGCCCTTCTCTGCAGCTTCGAGGATCTTTACCGTTTTATTGTTTTTTAGGTTTGGATGAGCCATCTTGAGGGTTGGTGAGAGGGGGGCTTGCCTCCTCTCGTCGTCCTCTTCAACAGCGCCATGATATCCGATTTCCCTGGTGGATTCTCCAACGATGTGTTCGAAAAGCTCCGAGCACAATACCGAGCTATCATCGCGATGCGCGTTTCGGGTGTTCGGTTCGGTGTCGGAAGCGGGCCGCGATCTGCACAGCGCCATGTTCCTGCCTCGAGACGGGGCGGATTCCCACATGCGGGGCCACCTCCCGCGTCTCTCTCCGCATTTACTTCGACTGAGGACATGGGAGGGTTCGTCACGGTAGTCCCGTGATAATTTATCATGAGCCTTCAAAAGCAGCTATGGATGATGCAGAAGAGTTCAGCAATACGATTGCCGTTGGTCTGCGTAGCCACATCCCAGAACTGCCGCCATAATGACTGATAGAGTATCGACGCTGGGCCCGGAGGGCCCAAAGAAGCAAATCAATCTTGATGGAAAGGTCATTGCAATAACTGGTGCAAACAGAGGTGCATTTACCTTTGTCATCAGTTCGCTACGGTCTTGCTGATTTAAGTTAAGGGATTGGGCTTGGAATAGCAGACTGCTGTCTCTCCAATGGTGCAAAAGCCGTATACTCCATCGACATTGGGGACACTGGCGAAGAGTTCGAAGCCGTATCGAAGCGCTATTCGGGACAGATTCATGCACTCAGGGCGGATGTTACGAAAGAAGACTCGATGACGGACGCTGTCAATCAGATCATCCAGAAAGAGGAAGCCCTCCATGGTATGGTAGTCAATGCGGGGCGGACGAAGCACAAGGCCGCTTTGGACTTCACTACTGAAGAGATTGAGCAGCTTTGGAATGTCAATGTTAGTGTGCATCCCCTAGAAATTGATACTTTGAAGCTGATTGTGGTCAATGCAGCTTTTCGGCTCGTTCTACTGCGCGAGGGTCGCCGCGAGAGCATTCATCAAATTGGGCGTTAAAGGATCAATCGTATTCACAGCTTCCATGGCATCCTACAGGCCAAACAAGGTATGCATGGAACATCCACAGCTCCTTCAAATGCCCCGCTCACACCAGCCACCAGCGCGTACCCTCAGCGCCTTACGGGGCCTCAAAAGCCGGCGTCCGTAACATGACGCACACTCTAGCCATGGAGTGGGCACAGTACGGTATTCGCGTCAATTCAGTCTCACCCGGTCTCGTCAAGACGGCAATGACGTACTGGGTGGAGCAGCAGCCGGACTGGGAGCAGCAGCTCAAGTACTATGGCGGTATGCCGCGCTTGGCTGAAGTCGAGGAGTTGGGTGGTGCGTATGTGTACTTGCTGAGCGATGCGGCAAGCTACACTACTTCCATTGATATTCCTGTCAACGGAGTCATTGGAATTTGTTAGCGTAGAGTGGAGAAATTTTTGTAGAGACAGGCGTTTCGATTAGAACATCACACGAGGAGTGAGTACGTTCCACTGATGTCTAGAGACCTTGAGAAAGCTGATTCTTGCGTAGCATGTTGAAATCGTCTACGCTTGAAGTGCTTTTAGAGATGTTCGAGGGGCTGATGTGGAACAAAAAGCTTTTTCCAGCATTACATAGGTTTAGAGAAGAATCCCGCCGACCTTCCACAAACAAGTTGAAACGTAGCTGCGCATTCACGATTGGGCGGCGCCGTCGCCAAAGTGAACTCGCGGTAACTGCAGTATACTCGGCGGGGCCTACTGTTGTTTTTTGCGTCTTTTCATAGCTGTAATCAAAGCTGTGCCACGTTGCGTTTCTATCGTCTAGAATCTGTCACTTAGAAGACACTCGGCCAGCCGATTCAAATAGCACTCTGTAAGCAACTACACACGACATTGTGCAAGGCATCATCTCGCTTTGTAATCTTACTCTTTTCCGCCCTTCTCGATGAGTGACCTACAGCTCACCTACCAGCATCTTTCGCCCACTCCCGCTTCAGCTCTTCCTTTAGGCAGTTGATCGGCCACCCAGTCCTCGCCTGGTGAGCCCCTAGCAGCTCGACGACTGCCTCTCGTCTTGTTGCGTCGTGAGTATACATGCCTGCAGCGTACAGACACTGAGTGCTCGTAACACTCGCGCCTGCCGCAGTGCCCGAATCACACTCCAAATCGACACCGCTGTGAGTGCGCGGATAACTTGATGTGCTGGATGTAGCAACGCTGCCTGGATTGGGAACACTGTCAGGAGATGTAGTCGACGATGGCGCTGTTGCTTGACGGCTCATGAACAGCTGCGTTTTGGCGATGCCGCATATGGTGTTGACGGCTTCGTCTAGGTGCTTAGAGCGAGCGGCGAACTCCTGGAAGCCGTTGGCGGCGGGGCGGTAGATCAGGAGGAGGATCCGGGCGAAGGAGTACATCTGGATTGCGGCGCCTATTGGCACACAAGGTCTGTCTCAGCTCATGCTTCGCCATTTGTAGAGTAAGAGGGGAAATCTCGTGGACTTGTTTGTTCTGAAATGAGATCGCACGGAAGAACGGTTCAGCTTACCAAACGCAGGCGGGTTGATCCATATCGGGCTGAAAACCGCTCCCTCCTCTTCCGCTTCAGCCGGCAGCGGCTCGAAGTGGGTGCTCAAGCTCTGACGCCAGTCCTCAAGCATGCCGAGCAACTCATCCGCCCTCTCGATCCTCGCCTGCAGCCTCCTCTCGCCCGCTTTGACCTCGTTCTCGCTGCTGAAATTGACTGCCTGACTCAGTAGATAGATAGATCGTCTCGCCAGCTCGAATTGATCCATGCCCCTTAAATCCCTCCTAGGCTTGAAGAAGCTGAAGCAGCTCCTCCTCTCACGAAATGCAGCCCAGAGGTCCTGCCTCAGCCACGCCCACCAAACCGCCTGCTTTAGACCGCCTGACTCGCCGTGGTTGTCTTGGGAGCGCTGGATCCAGAACACGCCTTTGAGGTGCCGCTCCCAGCCGTTGCCGCCGTCGACCATCTCGTATGTCGAGACTATCAGCGCGGTCGCGATGATCTCGAGGCTGCGGGTATAGCTTGGATGTTGCAGCGCGGACTGGAGGTACTGCAGTGTCTCGTAGTAATATTGTACAGCGACCGTACGGTCGAGGAGAGGAATGGCTAGCGATGGTGATTTGATGGACAGGTGACGAGCGGAAAGGGCGAGAATGGCTTTCATGAGGCCTTCATTTTGGAGCGCGAGGTGCGGCACGAAGGTCGAGAAGTGCTGAAAGGGGTCGAAGAGGTCAAGTGATTGCGCGACGTGGGTGACGAAGCGGCGAAATATGGGGATTTCGGGGTCTTGGAGGCGGATAGGTGCTTGCCACAGTGACTGGTCGTCGAGAGCGGAAGTAGTGTTGGAAGGAAGGGGCGTAGAGGCAATAGCTTGTGGTGAGCGAAGCGAGGAGGCACCGCTGTTGTTGACCAGGTTTGGTACTGAAAAGTTCGGAGTGCCGAAGCTGGGAAACGTGAGCCCAGCCTGGGGGTCCGTTCTCTGCATGGCCCCATTCGACTCTTCTGGCAAGTTGAAAGAGAAGTCGTAGTCATTGTGGTCGTTTGCTGCGTCGTCAGCGAGCAGCCCAAACCAGCGTATAGGCGCAACTTCTCCAGGAAAATTTGTCCAGCCACTAAATGTTGACTGAGGGCTGGACGTTTGTGCAGCGTCGTGTGGAGAAGCCCAGTGCGGTAGGCTTGAGACGCTTGAGATTCGTGCGGGCTCTGACAACTGTGAAGCCTGCGGGTTCTGCGTTGGTATTGGCCAGCTGGTCATGGTATCAATCTGGCCTAGGATATGCTGAAGGGTCCCCCGTGCTTCGCCCTCGTTCTGATGTGGTGCGGAGGCTTCGGGCAGCTGAGGTGCTTCTGCCGACGGCTGCCATTCTGGCTGACGGCCGGATGCTTCCGCGGCATCCTCTATGCTAATGTCGCTTGCCGGTTGACTAGCTTCCTATAAATTGAATCAGCGTCTTTATAACGACACAACGTTTTGAGCAAGAACAACTTTTCGACATGCTGGAAGCTCAATTTTTACGAAAGTACACCGCCTGCTGGAGCGAAACAGTGGCGTTTACATACGCCTTGAAGATCGGCAAAGAACCCTTGCATTCCGTTCCTGGGTACTTAACTACCTGAGTGACTTTGGTATCGTTTTACTAGTTCGTTCTCTCCGTGAGACACTTCGTTGCTGGCATGTTCGTCCTTGCCTCCTCGACGAAAGAAGCACTCTGGCGCGTGAAGTCCCTAAAAACACAAGGAAATACTGATTGATATGGGAGTACGTTGAATCGAGACAGAGACTCGAAACTTCCGGCCTCCTGTTACGGAGCAGGATTAAACCACTAAGGCTAGGAGAAACCATAGTTACCTTGGAGGGACTGTTGTAGACGCAAGCACGGCCTCCTTTAGCACAAGCACCACATGTGGGCTTTGCTTCATCACATTTCATATGGCGTGCCCGGCACACGACGCTGTCGGTGTTTGATAAGCTAAGTTTGCTAGAGGATCACGTGCCCGGAGTTTGATAGAGTTCATCGTTGATGCTGTAGACTGAGAGTGTCTGGTCACTTGCATATGCCTATCGCGATGTTGCAGGTCATTTCGCCGCAGGCCTCAAGTTGAGCCCTGATGGGTACGCAGCCCAAGTTCACGGTCTCCATGGCTCTCTTGCATGACCAGAATACTCGATCTGCCGCCCGCTCATTGCAAACATTGACGCTTCTTGACACATCGATCTCGCAAGACTACACTTACACGTCTTGGTTGGGATGGGAAGTACTTACCAGCCAGTAGTTGTCCGGAGTCCCCGCCCCCGAGGTTTCCTCCTTGGCGTCGTCCGCCTGGCTGTAGACGGAGCCAAAGCGGACGCCGCTGCTGACGCGCTTGACGTTGATGCTCCCAGCATCGCGTCGGTACAGCCCGCGTCCGCACGCGCATTCGCGCAACGAGACCGGTGGAAGAGACGGGGAAGGGTACGTTCGTGCCGGAAGAGAAGGTGACTCGACGCGAGCGGTGCCTCCAGGCGAGTGCACCAGCCGGATTGCCACGATACGAGTACGGCGAAAAGAGGCCGACCGGAAAGAGAAGCTTCAAGCTGTGGAACCGCGACACTGGGCTTTGGGACGATTCGAGATGTGCAGCGGAGCGGATGACACAGAAACCAACTCAACCCCAGAAACGAAGTCTATGAGGCGCTGGGGACGGGAGCGCCTCAATCCAACTCAACACCCGGAGCGGGAGGGCTCCCGCTTCGGGGCAGCTTTCACGCGACTCATTCGAGTGCCGGCCTTCTTTGCTGCCTTTGCTGCATGGAAGCCTTTCCCCACACTTCGGGATAGCTCGATCCGGGTAATCCACGTGTTGATCGGCCCTGCATCGCCATCTCCATGGTGTTGACCTGCATGAACCCCTCGGCGGGGTATGAGCTCTTCATCGCGCTCAAGAACGAGGAGCTCCGTTCTTCGAAAGATACGAGTTCACTTTCTGCCGCTGTACCACTGGCAGCTAGCTGTTGTGCTGTGTCGTAGCTGAAGTATTGGGCTGTTAACCTAGATGTTGGCAGAGGCTTCATAGGCATTATTGAAACAGTCAATTAGCCACTCCTTGTAGCTCTGGTAATACCACAATGTCGACGAAGCATTTCTTTCCCACGACCGAGGGCGTCGTCGTCCAAGCTCTGGACTCCTTCGTCACCAGGAACCCATTCCTCGGCCTCGACGTGCCCAATAAAGTCGTATGGAACAAGAACCATCCCCCCTCGCAGATATCGATGATATCTGGCGGGGGCGCTGGACATGAGCCGGCGTGGTCAGGATATGTGGGCGACGGCATGCTTGCCGCTGGTGTCAGCGGCGAGGTGTTTGCAAGTCCTGCGACAAAGCAGATTATGGCGGCGGTGAAGAAGGTGCCTTCAGATGTTGGTATAATACTGTGTATCACCAATTATACTGGGGACAACCTACATTTCGGCTTGGCGAAAGAGAAAGCTACAGCTTTGGGCTACAAGGTCGGCGTTTGCCGCATGACGGATGATGTTGCGTTGGGGAGAAAGAAGTCTGAAGGGTTGGGTCGAAGAGGTCTCGCAGCCAATGTCCTCGGTAGGCAGTCATCAGTACCCATTTTGTGAACTTGCCATTACTGATTGGACCGACAGTGCTAAAGATGATGGGCGCTGCCACACATCAGGGATGGACGTTCGAGCAGTGTCTTGAGATTGGAGCTCAGGGCAACGCGCAGATGGTCACCGTTGGTACGAGCCTCGACCATTGTCATATACCCGGGCGAGAGCATCACGAGCATGTCCCTGACAATGCCTGTGTGCTGGGAATGGGTATTCACAATGAACCGGTAGGCATCTATACGAAGTCCCTGAGCGGCAGTTCACTAACGAGCGGTCTTCCAGGGTCTGCAAACACTTTCGCCGATGCCTTCGCCGGAAGAGGTCGTCAAAAAGATGCTGCTCTTCCTGCTTGATCCCAATGATTCCGATCGAGCGTTTGTGCCCTTCGACGGCACTAAAGACAATGTCGTCATGCTCATCGACAACTTTGGCGGACTCTCTACTCTTGAGTTAGAAGCTCTGACAAATATCACAAAAACTCAGCTGGGTAAGAATGAGCCTTGTATATGACCAAAAAAAACTCTCGGCTGACACGAAGTCTAGCCAAGGACTGGAACATCAAACCAGTCCGCATCTATGCTGGCGTATTCGAGACCTCCTTAAACGGACCCGGCTTCTCGATATCCCTCGGGAATCTCACCGGCATGGCCAAGGCACTCGGCCGTGAAGATTCTGACCTCATCCAGCTTCTTGATGCACCGACAACCGCGCCCGCATGGCCGAAGAATGGCTACGCTCATGCACCCAAACCCGATGACGCTGCACCGTCCACAGAGGCCGACGAAGAATCAGATGAAGCATTGGAGAAAGGCCCTCAAGGTCCGCACCCCTGAAATTCACCAATGCCCCTTGTGATCAGGGGTGAGCATACTAATATTTTCCTCAGTCTCGACATCCGACCTCAAGCGCGCCCTTCAGAAAGCATGCGATGCCGTTATCGCCGCCGAACCCGACATAACCAAATACGACATCCAAATGGGCGACGGCGACTGCGGCGAAGCCGTCTCAACAATCTGCAACTCCATCATCTCCAATCTCTCATCCGGTCCCTTCGAAGCCGAGAGCGCCTCCATCTTCGCGCTCCTAAAGCCCATCGGCGAGAGCGTCGAGAACGTGGGCGGCTCCCTCGGCGCGATCCTGAGCATCATGCTCACCGCCTTCTCCAACAGTCTGCGGAAGCTTCATACTAGCGAGGATCTCACGGCTGTGGATGTTGCTGCCGTAGGCAAAGCCCTCGGTCCCGCGCTTAAGAACCTGGAGTCTTATACCCCTGCGCGGAAGGGCGACAGGACGGTTATGGATACGCTGACCCCGTTCGTGGAGCAGCTACAGCGTAAGCCGGATCTGGGCGAAGCGGTGCAAGCGGCTGAGGAGGGCGCGAACAGCACGAAGGGGATGAGGCCGAAGTTTGGGAGGGCGACGTACATTGGGGACAAGGCGGAGGGTGATGATCTGCCGCCGGATCCGGGAGCGGTGGCTGTGGCTGTTTTCTTGAGAGGATTGTTGGAGGGCTGGGAAGGTGGATCATAAGAAGGGGTTCTTTTGGTAGTCGAGGCCTCATAGAAGTTTTGAAGACAACCGCTCAGGGGTGGTATATTTCTGAGTCCTCTCCGTTGTTGTAGTTGCAAGTAAGTCTGTCTTTGCTTGGCTTGAAGAACTGCAACTGCGACATGTGCTAGAATTGTATCGGGCGTTCGCCGGCGATTGATACAAATAACAGCCTCATAATGATGCTGCGTGCCCTGCCCTTCCCTTATACAGGCAAGTTGCTACTGGGGGAGAACATCGTCATCCTACAGTTTACTCTTCCCAAGCTATCTGACTTCAGGCTCCACGTCGTTACGTCGAGTCGTACACAACCCTTCCGATTACGTTACCGCTGCAAAGGCACTTCTAGAGCTTAAATCACTCCGCGCAACAAGCGGGGTGCTTCTTATACCCTCATAGTTCCCTTTGCATCACCTACATCTCGCTTCACAGTCACCGCACTACCGGCCAAACAACACCCCGTTCCGCCACCCCTCACAACCTTATTAGTCATTCCTTAATCTCCTGCTTATGGAATATACCTGTACAACGATACTGTCAGCACAGCTTGCTCTACACAGCAGCCCGCGCCACGGATTCTACTGCTGTCTCCAACTGATATGGCCATAACTCACCAGGTATCTCCGGCATCCACTTCTCCCTATTCTTGCAGAAGAACTCCCCCTTCGGCGGCAGCGCGCCTGGCTCATCCAAGCTGCCCACGCAGATGTAGCGGAACTTGTCCTTCGCCGGCTCCCCGTACTCCAGTATAAAACTCCCACAGTCGTCGCAAAACTCTCGATACAGCTGCGTCCCGCTCCCATTGTCCATTTTGTGTTCCTTGGGCTTCTTCTCCGACGTGTACTTGAAAGCGTCCTTTGCGACTTTGGCGGTCAGGCCGTAGTTGGTGCCGAAGGCCTTCTTGCAGTTCTTGCAGTGGCAGAGCGAGGTGCGTGCGTCGTCGGCGGAGTCGAGCGTGAGGGTGTAGGTTAGGGCGCGGCAGTAGCAGGAGCCTGTGAGCTGCATTGTGTGTGGGGTTGGTGGAGGATGTGCTGTGGATCGATGGAGTAGATTGAGTAGGAGAGAGGTGTGTAGTATTAGATCCCAGGCCCGGCTGAGGGTTAGAGCTGCTTGACATTCGCTGCACGAGGTCGAAGAGTAGACGCGCAGTTGACGTCAGGCGAGATGTGCCCTAAATCGGTAGCGATCGGCGCCAGGGTCCAGTGAGTTCAGTAGGAGAGTTTGCGAGCAAAATAGGGAGGACGATATCTCTGGACGATGGAGGAAATGGGTGTGAAGTGACCTTGTAGGAGCATACGACCTGAATGGACTTTTGCCCGGGAGGGACCGAGCCCGTTGCCCCTGATAATCACAAGGAGCAGGAACTGCAGGCCTGGATGCCAGAGTTGGAAGAAGGACAACAAGGTCTTTTGGGTCGGTAGAAGTAGAGTAGACTTGATACGGTAGCTATACAAGGAAGTGTATCGCTTCAAACCAGTTTTACCGAAAGGGTTGCCAACGCCATCAACTCACAAGTCCATGCATATTGCGTCTTGCCTTATCCCATCTCTACGACCTCAACCCTAGCAGGAAGTTTCCCCCACTCTTCCCACCTTCACCGCCCGCCGCGCCACCAGGCAGGTACGTAACATTCGGGTTATTCGAAAGCAGCTGCGCGACATCCTTCTGCGTCTCAATCCTTCTAATCGCGATCAAACCCTCACCGCTCTTCGCCACCGCCCTACTAATCGTATCCGCAGCCTCAGCCTCGCCCTCCGCCCTGATGACATTCGCCTGGCGCTCCTGCTCCGCCTTCTCGACGATGAAGCGCGCGCGCTCGGCCTCCTGCTGCGCGATCTGCTTCTCCTCGACGGCGCGCGTGAACTCCTTGCCGAAGGTCATGTGCGTGATGCTGACGTCCTCAAGGGCGATGTTGAACTCTTGCGCGCGGCGGAGGAGGTCGGTCCGGATGCGGTTGCTGACGGCTTCACGCTGGGTGATGAGTTCGGCGGCGTCGAACTGGGCGACGATGGCTTTGAGGACTTCGTTGCCGATGGAGGGGAGGACGCGCTCGTCGTAGTCTTGGCCGAGGTTCTGGGGGGAGTGTTAGTTGCTGCGGTGCTGGCTTTACTCGTGGTTCCGCCACCGGAGCTCGAAGCGTCCGGACAGTCTACTGGGAGCAGCAGTAGGATAGAAATCACACACCTGATAGATCTTCGGCAACATCCTAACCTCGGGCCTGTGCAGCACCCTGAGCGTCAAGCTCACCATCTGCAGATCCTTGCTGCCCGTCGTGGTGCTGATGTTTCTCGGCTTCGTCCGCACATCGTAGATAATGGCCTTCTGCAGCCACGGAATCAGAAAGTGGGTGCCCTCGTTTTTGACCTCGTCCCTAACACCGGACAGCCTGTCGAAGATGACGGCCCGCGTGCCACCCCGGACGTCGTAGATGGAGGCCTGGATGAGGGAGAAGCCGACGGCGGCGGGGATCGCCCAGCGGTAGACGGCGTTGAGGGCGTTGGCCATGGTGGTGGTGGTGGTGGTAGGCTGTGAGAGATGTGTGAGGCTTTTCGGGGACGGAGGAGGAGAGGTGTGGTGGTGCTGTTGTTATGGTCGACTGGTGGTGTGCTGGGTCCAAAGTTACAGCTTCATGATGAGCTCGATTGATGCGCACTTTTCGGGCATGGCGTCGAAGGCGAGAGCACGTGATCGGGATGCTGGATCATCGAAGCTTCCCTTTGACTGACGGCCGAGGAACTGCAAACAGAGCGCATCCGTCCACGACTACTCGCCAGCACATCTACACCCTCCAATTGACTACTCAAATCCCCCATTCCTCGTGCAATACAGCCAAAATGGGTGGCGGTGGTGAAAAGATGCCCGGCCAGTGAGTCCTCCCCAAGGCCAAACCCTTTCCCACAGCCGCCACGATAGCTTGCGCTCGCAGCAACTAAACCATCCTGTTTCTGTCAAACAGCCATGCTGACATTGCTCCTCCAGATACATGGGCTGGTGGGGTTCCCTAGGTACCTCTCCCTCCTCCGGCATACCTCCTCCGGGCCTCTATCCTCGCGCCCTTCACGCTCCAGAACGACACCTGTACTTACAAAACCCCCTTCCATACAGGCTCCCCAGCCCAGAAAGGCGTCGTAACCTACGCCGTCTCCCCCAACCGCCAGCGCCCTCTCGCCGGCACGCTCAACGCTGCAATCTTCAACACCTTCCGCCGCACCCGCCAGCAGATCCTGTACTGGGCCCCGCCCATGATCCTCGCGTATAGCGCTATGAACTGGGCTATTGAGCGGTGGGTCATTCCTTTATTTGCTACAAACGACTGAGGGGGGGAGACGAAGGAGAGGACGGGGATTGGGGGCGGAATATCGTGTCCGGCAGTTCTGGGAGGAGTGGACATAGAGAGGGCTATTTTTTAAAGTTGCGAAAGGATGTGGTAGGAAGTGTGCTGACATGCTGCGTACAGGAACGAGTACCTGAACTCCAAGCCAGGCCGTGCTGAAATGGCGGAGGCGGAGGGGGCGGAGTAAGGAAGCTATTGAACAGTTCTGTGTTGATACAAGTGGTGTACTTTCAAGCGAGCAGCTGAGAGTTAGGAGACGTGGTGTAGCTTGCGAGGTCGCATTGCCAATCGATCAACTGTACAAACCTAAACGGCCTCTGACTATACTGGGTAGTCTGGCAGTGACCACACTTCCCGGCAGCTCTCTGCTCCTTGGAAACTATCTGTCGTATAGTGTTTGTGAGCTAACACTACAAGCGGCTCAACGTCAAGCGAACCTCTCGTTGTTTCTAGCGCATAAGCAAGCCGGTGTGGAATCAACGGAACATATCAACCCATTATCAACGCCTCCATTTTCCGCGGATCTCAACCGCCATCCACGACACCCTTTCATCATCTTGAATCCCCAGCTAGTCTCCAGCCCGCTTCACATGCAACGGCTCCACCACTATAGCATCCCCCGCCGGCCTTTCCGCCTCCGTACTCCTTGGGCTACTGCTCCTCTCCCTCTCCCAAAAGCCCGTCCCACCACCGCCCATAGCCTCCTCGGCCGTCATGTAGGTCGGCCCCGCGCTTCTCGGCGACATATTCGAGTCATCAAAAGAGTAAGGGATCAGGTTGGTAGTCTTGGAATTGTTGGGATTGTACGTCGCGTCGTTGATCATCGAGGCGGAGGAGTGGGGGTGGCGTAATGGTTTTGAGAAGTTGTTGCTCCGCGGTGGTAGGGGGAAGTCGAGGGCTTGCGTAGTTCGTGGTGACGGTTCGGCTGGCAGTTCAGCGTGGCAGGGTGCAGAAGCGTGCTGGACTTTTATGGCGGGCGTGAGGGACGGTGGATGGAGCGAGTCGGTGTTCGGGAGCGGCTGCGCACTGCCGGATGGCTGCGTGAATTGATCCTGAGCCACCATCGGTGAGACCTGCTGGCTGTGAACGGGGGTTGAGTCCAACTCAGGGCTTGCAGGATGTCTGTTCAGCGAGCTTGGTGACCAGGGGCCCTGTTTCAATTCAGAAGATTCAAGCTCGCTGGGTCCGCCCTCAGACCCATTGGATCCTGGGACTAGTGGCGTGCAGCCAGGCGTCGACTTCTCATCACTGCTTGAGTCCTGAGAGCTCTTGCGTTCCCCTCGTTTGTAGAAGAGAAAGTACCAGGCCGAGAGCACGGCGAATGCGAGCCCGGCGGCTCCTGCGACGGCTATCCCTGTTACCGCACCTGCCGAGAGACTAGGTCCTTCATCGCTGTCGTCGGATGAAGCTGAGGGGCTTCCAGACGTGCGGGTCGGAGCCGAAAGTGATGAGAGAGAAGTTCCTGTGCTGATGTCAATAGATAAGCCACCACCGGTGGTCATGCCATCAGACGACGTGCTACTACCAGGGCTACCCAAGGCCATTGTAAAATCCGTTACTGTGTTTGATGGAGTCTCCAAGACGCTCTCTATAGCTTCTGGGGCGCTTGAATTAATCGGGTCATCCTGGGGTGTACTCGTTGGAGGCGGAACAGTAACTCTGATTTCAACTGTAGAGGTTGCGACGCGTCTTGAAGAAGGTGGAGCCGTAACTGGCTCGGGGCCTACGGTATCTGTCGATCCAGGCCATGACTCGTCAGGGTAGCGCTCGGGATGGGCGAGGCGGTTCTCATAGCTGATCGTTTCTGTTTTTGCAGTTGGTCCGCAGTACATGATGTACTGGTTCTCCTGGATATTGGTCATTTTGACGCAGTAAGGGAATTCCGTGTTCGAGCTGTTGCAAACGGGCTGTCATTGAGAAGTCCTATTAGGTGCTGAGTGGCCAATACATCCTACCATTGAATGCATCCTCCAGTGTTGATCTCGCAATTTTCGCGTGTAGAGGTTGGATTGTAGTCGATGCAGGTAGTTCGAGCTCTACAGCTTGACCTATGCTCCGGCATCAGTTTCAACCTGCCTAGGAGGTAATTCTACTCACACAGAGCAGCATCCGATAAAGCCATCGAGGCCTGTGTAGCATGTGCCTGTCGCGCAAAGAACTGCAGCCTGACTCAGCACAACCCACCAAGAGCTGATGTCGAAGCGCGGTTCTTACAGTATCCTTCACCACCGTCGCATCTGGTCGTGGAAGCAATAGCTTGGCGCCTGCCCAGCCAGCCGTTCGGCATGCGACCAAACAGCTCTGGCGCATCTGCGGGATCAATATCGTGAAAGGGAAGTCGGGGCGCTGGCGTGATGACATGGCCACTAGTTGCGATGAGGTGGATTGTGATCACGAGAAAGAAGAACTTGAGAGCAGCCATTGTCAGGGTACCACTGGGTGAAAGTGAACGCATACTCGTTGTCGCAGATGTTTCAGGAAGCTTGAATGAAAATCGCCCCAGCGCAATCCGGATGGAAGCGTGTCCGACGAGATGATTTACGTAGATGCATGTAGGGAAGAGGCGGAGTGTAGAAGGGCGAAAGGTGGGATGTTTGGGAAAAGCGATTGGAGGTACTGAAGTGAGGTTGTCCGATTACACACGCTGAGACAGGACGGGAGCCTTGACGACAACCGCTCATCCGGAAAACTGCAGGAACCCGAAGCCACTCAGAGGTTGAAAAGTTCCGCCGAGGGCAAGATGCACTTCATTCACAGGCTGGGCGGATAGATGCAGCGGTCAATTCGAATTCGCTTCGTGCGCGACGTCACGCGTGGCACAATGTCCAGGTCTGCTGAGCAGTTATTTGTGAGCCGCTCGGGATATCTGCTCCAAAAAGGACTGCCGGTGTCTACCACTCCCCGGGGCAAACTGAATTACAATACCTGGAAAAGTTGGGTACCCACGCTTCTCTCATGTCCGTGGCCGTCAAGGTAGGTATATTGCCCGCAAAACGCCTAGTGCCCATACTTGTCAACAATCCAACAGCAAAACTCCTCCCACTCGCGCTTGAAGATACGGCGAGCTTCATCCTTCTCAGGTTCGCTCAAGCAACTGAAAGTTATACTCCACTCCGCCAGCTGCCGCCAGCCATGAACACCCATCGTTGGCCATCCAACCATAACTTGGTAGAACTCATGCGATAGCGAGGAGCTGTTGCGGGAATCGCCCCTAAGTTAGCTCATCTCAGCCATGGTGCAGGCACATGGTTGAGGGCGGACGTACCTGAAAAGTGAAGGGTTGTCACTATTGACAGTGCATGGAATACCTGCCGCGAGTAGCTGTGGAAACGTGTGCTCTTTGACGTTTCGACATAGGTGCAAGAGCTCATTGGAAATGGGGCAAAGCTCAATGCAGATCGGCTTCTCCCTGAACTTCTCCATCAGCAGCGGATGTCTCGGTAGGGAATAGCCGTGGCCGATTCGCTTAGCGTTCAATAAGACCGAGTCGTATAAGTTGGAATTCTGAGGCTCCTTAGAGCCACCGGTGTCTAGCAGTGTCTCGCCGGCGTGAAACATGAACGGTATCTCGATATTCAAGGATTTGCAGGTCTCGACGAAAGCTAGAAGCTCGTCCCTGTAGAAACCTATGTGGTTTGGCCGGTCTTCAGCGCCAACAAGGTCAAAACCTAGGATAGGTAAGCAATGCGATCTGTGATTTGAACCCGAGTGATCGCAGAGATCGCATAAGAGGCGCATGACATACCACAAATGAGCTCCGGATATTTTAGCTTCAACTCGATGCAGTCCTGCATTTCGCTCCGCATCTTCTGCTTAGGGATTGACCGAGGCGTGCAGTAAATTATTTTAACGCCGAAGGGGAATTTATCCAGCTCGTTTTTATTCTTCAACTCCTGCTTCTTCTTTTCGACCTCTTCAAGGATCATGTCCATTTGCGCTCGGAGGTCATACCTTTGCTGGCCGTCCACACTCGGTATAAATTTGTCCATCAGCATAGGGCGCAACTCGGCATACATCACCCGTTCGCGAATCATGCTGTCGATGGCCAGTCCTATATAGCGGCGGTAGGCTTCGTCATAATTAAGAAGGCCTTTGAAAGCGCGAGTCGCCTGATTGAACCGTGCCCAGATACTGGATGAGAGTCAATTCAAACCTGTAAAACAGTTGCTACATGGGATACACACCCATTCACCGTCTGCTTCATGCCGTACACCTCTTCCTCCTGCAAGACCATCTTCTCTTTTACCCATGCTTCGGCATTTAGTTCACTGCGCGTCCGGGGAAATTCTTCGCAGAAGGTCTTCCAATTCATCCAGGGCCGGCTTCCCGGTGCCTTAAATTCCGGATTGTAGTCGCTAGAAAAGATGTCCGAAGTAGGAGTGTCTGCAGGCATTACGTTGAAAACGATCTCTGTCACATCATAGTCTTCAGGATTCACGAGAGCCTGTGTACTTCTGATGAACATCGTGTCTGGCAAATACCGCGCCCACTCAATGAGCCCCTCGGGCTGCAACTCAGCGTTGAAGTGAAGGTGCAGATGGCAACCCTTTGGCATTCGTTGGGCAATTCTGAAGAGTTGGCTCTTCTCGATGCGCTCCTTGTTCGTTAGGAATTGGCCGCCCATGTCGAGTGTCTCCGGTCCTGGAATCGCCTCGCTGGCTTTGTTTCCAAAGAGATTGTCGCGCTCATCTTCTCGGACCTCCCAGACGAGCTGGTCTGCTCTATTCTCAGCTTCTGAAGCGCTCTCACGTGCAGCGCGATCCCAAGCGGAGTCCCTTTCCTCCTGCAGTAGGAACTCTTTTCGCTCAGCGTAGATCTGCTGCTGCGCAGTGCCCTGAAGGTGCTGTGTAAAGGCCTCGTCTAGGTTAGGCGGTTGCGCATCAGTAGAGCCCATCGTCTTCTCCCCAGTGAGGGGGTTTGGGGTCACGCTTCGTTTGCGCTTACGAGCAGTTTCGCCGACCGTCAGTCTTTGCATGGCAGAGTCGTGGGATGGTTCTTTGTTGGAACTCTCTGCGCGACTGAGTTTGCGGTTTGCTCTGGCGCATTGTTAGTGAGCTGCTCTGGCTTTATGCGCGGGTCCGCATCCAGCGAACAGTCCATTCATGGTGATCTGCGCATCCTACACCTCTCGGTTGTGATTCACTTCGGTAGCGCGCAATGGTTAACGGATCTCTTTACCTTGCTAGCCAACCCCCTAACGGCAAATTCGAGATCCAACTCTTGTTCCCGGTTCTCGACGAAGGCGGGTCAACGTCCGTCGGCATGCTTAATCCGATCGTGAAACGCAAAGTGAAAGCAGTCACCGGTGCGGCGGACCACACTTCGGGTTTGGTATCGGTCTATGCAGCCTTGAGCGCATGAGACGTACTTCCACTGGACTCTTAAAGGACGACTTCCGGACCGCGGTCAAGGCGAGGCTAGGTATGCTCTGCCACGATCAGGTGACTTCTCAGAGCCGCTACAGATATGGCCTCAAGCCAAGCGCTTAGAACACCGTTGTTTGCAAGCGACTAGGTGTGAAGAGAGGGCACCACCACAGATTAGCCTCGTTCGAGTGGAGCGGTCTACCTAGGTACAGTTGCTGTCAGAATCAACTACTTTGCAAGGCTGTGGCTGCGCCCCAATGATAGGCACCGGCAACATTCAGGTGCGCTCCTCATCAGAGGAAGACGGTGACTTTGTAGTGGATACAGCGAAACAAGCTGGAGCATCCAGCAAATACAACGCGACACCTCCCGCGGATTGCTGAGGGCATTTGCTTCGAGGGGGTTTACGCTGTCGCGTGCGATCCAATGTTTGCGCAGGCGATACAGAGGACCAAGGAGATTGCGACAAACCTTCGCATTCAGTATCCCACGGAAATCCAGCGTCTTATGGCATAAAACAACGAGGCAGACGATACAAGGGAGCCTAGTGTTGACAATCGGTCTCCGGAATGCCACGCCAGGAACGTCTGTCAAAGGAAGCGAGACTCTGGGAGTCGCAGCGACAATCGGCGCAAAGCAGCGGAGGTTGACATGCACCGTCGTGCTGATACTCAGGACATGTCCGCACTCACTGCCATGACGGAGCACCAGGCAGCAAGATGTAGATAGTTACCGTATGCGCCGCGATGGGGGTGAAGAGGGCAGTGCAAAGCTTGCCCTAGGTAGAATACGAGGCTGATGCATCCGGCCCACCGCCAATCGAGCTCCTCTCTCAGCCGCAACAGCTTGCACCCGCCGTGCGGCTGAGCACATAGCCCCGAAACTCTCACTGCGGACGCAGGCCTCCATGCTCTCTGGATCCTGCTCCAGCATGGCCGCTGATGCATTGCGGCTCTGTATTCCTCCAGAGTATATCTTTTGTCCGCTGCTATTGCTCTCAAGCTTCGTTATCGTTCATCTGTCATAGCCTGCGGACCTTTGTTGGATTGAACAGCGTTTCGTATGGAAAAAACCTCATTGTGCATCATCCTTAGCAAGACACCATGAGGCTACGGTTCCTGAACCGCTTCGAGGATCTTCAGCTTGACATAGTTGGTTTCCTCGCTATTCTAGGCGAGGGTTCAGTTCTAGCAAACGCCCAAGTCTCCACACTCTCCAAATGGGTCTACGTCCCTCGACTTCTACCGGCTCCGCAAGCCCTGCTACGACCCAACAGACCGTCCAAACTAGAGCCAACACCCGGCCGTGTAACTGCGGTATGGGCTGGAAACAATAGAAACTATGTCAATCACATAGGCAATATCCTTGTGTACGTTGTCTGGACGTGTCGATAGCCCAGTTCAGCGGACTGACCCAAACACCAGTGATTGCGAGAGTATGGACGACTTTTCTGTACGGTGTGTGGAGATAGAACGGGACGACAGCAGGCCTTCCGTCAAGGCCAAAACTCTCGCCCCTCTGACTGGACTCGTGGTCCTCGGGGCTATATTGGCGGTTGTCCTCTTAGTCCTGTCGATCATCCAACGGGATGGCATGGCGCTGGTGGCGACGATAATGCTGTCTTGCCTTTCCACCTTGATTGGTCTGGGAAACAAGTGGGAGCTCTCGCTGCCGAAGCGTACCGTCAAGACTGGCTTGACACCGCCAGGAGACGTCGTCATCAGGTACCCACAGGGCAGCTTCCTCGTCGTCAAGTGCACCGAGGATGTTGCACGCGAGCTCTACTTCGCTCCGGAGAACATCAACTACCTCTTCACCCATCCACCCGCCTACCGACTGATCTCACTGCTCGGCACGCTGATGCTCATGTTCGGAGTCATCACACTCGCCAACGCTACACTCGAGCTCCAAATTGGCTTTGCGGCAGCCTATATGTTCCTCAACGCGGCCTATTGGATCGTCGCCGCGCTGCCTCCAAAAGTGCACTGGGACACATCATGCTTCAAGGTAAAGCGTCAACGACTCGAGACCAGCGAGATGGACAAGCGTTTTACGGACTGCAATGACACCTTCACGAAAGCCCTCTGGAAAGTCATGGTAATCACGAAGGACATTAATTGGGCGAAACGCGGCGATGCTGCACCTGACACGGCAGCCTGGGATCAGTGGCTGCGGGACGCCGCCGAGAAGGCTAAGACAGCCGGGTCAGAGTACGACGAACATACTGATGCGTTGGTATGGATAGTGCCAGAATGGGATGCACAGGAGGCTTTGGCAAAGCTCATAGATGAAACGATGTCTGGGGACAATAGCAAGGATGCATAGCGCATTTCACTAATTCCTGAACTCGGTTTCCCCTTATAACGCAGCGGGAGTCTCAGATTGGAGTTGTTTGTTTTTGTCTATATGCATGGTTTGGCGTACAAAATCATCTTGCGTAGCGTCTTGCCCCTTTCGGCAGCTGTATTATGGGTTGCGACGAGGGATCGATCCGATTCTCTGATGATGCGGGCGTTGACAGTCGAAATGAACAGATCACACATGAACTTCGATACCCTCTTTAAGATCCGATGATCCATCTCGTGCTCTATAATGTATTCCGACCCTTCTACACCTCGGTAGACCATAGTTCCTAAGCCTCCGCCACTAGAGAACGCCTCACATAGCGCCCGTGTTTACCAGTTGCGCTACTCACGGTACAGTTATGCTCTGGTAACGTTGCTATCTTGTAACCTCTACAGGCCCGGTCCCGGCACGCTGCCCTTTCCCAGTGTTTCGTCGTCGCTGCATCCCCATACTTCACCCCTCACCCCTCCACCTTCCCTCCTTCTCCACCTCCCCCTTCACTAACTCCCTCAACCCCCTCACCATACTCCTCTTTGCCCCTTCAACCTCCATGACATCCGGGCTCTCGTCTTGCAACCCACAACACACACCCCGCGCCGCCTCACACGCCTCCTCCCAATCTTCGATCCCGAAATCGCCCTCACTCTCCGCCAGTACAGCCTCACCTCTCCCATCAAACGCAAAAACATGCAAACCCCCCTTCCGTGCCACAGCCTCGAGCTCGCTACCTCCTTCCTCCGGGTCCGGGTCTACGATCACCGCCTCCCCCTTCCCGAATCTCTTCGGCACAGCGACCAGCACGGCGGCTAGGGTTGTGGAGAGGCGGATGGAACCGGCGAGGAGGGTCGCGTACGCAGTGTTGATTAGCGCGGGGAGGACGGGGAGAGAGGAGGCGGATGGGAGAGTGGAGTGAGTGGAGGGGGTCGAGAGGATTTGCAGGGTCAGCTGGATGAGGGTGCGCGGGTAGTCGTGGGTGAGGATTATGTTGCGGAGGAGGGTGGTGAGGACTTGTTCAATGCGGCGTTCTTTGGGGGCTGGTACATGGAGTTAGTTCGTGCTGTATGAAACGGTGGTGGGCTGACGGGTCTGCTGAGCGCGTATAGGGCTTGAAAAGACTATGGGAAGCGTGATATGTAGAGGGGAGAGGGATGACTGACAACCCACGCCAGTGGCCGGCCGGACATTGACTTCTATAGCGGCTTCATCTGGTATCTCGTCGCGCCGCTGGACCTCGATGGGGCCGTTCACTGCGCCGATAATGGTGTAGCCGTTCTGAGAGTGGGTCGCTGAACCGTCAGGGCGACGGAGAGGGTTCAGTGTCGTTTTAGGGGCGGGCATCCTTTACTCGTGTATTAATTGATGGTGGAGCGGATCGTGGAAGAAGCTGCACTGCGAGCTGTCCTGGTGCTGATATTTTCTGTGTTTCCCTGTCACAGCTCCCGACAGATCGTCATACGGCTCGTCCCGCGACGGGACAGATGCCGAGGCTCGCCGAAGCTTCCAAGGTTCCCCGGATCGGACAGCTCCGTACACTCTGGGTCGCGCCCTGTCAACAGCAGCATAGGTAGCTTCCCTCCCACATATTGAAGTGGTAGCTGCACGCTTGTGGTCGCACGAGCAAATGTCGAACTCCAGAGGCGCACAGTCCCCTCAAAAGCGCCTCCTCAAAGAGCTCCAGGAGTACCACTCGGACCCGAACGATGCCTTGCTCGAGCTTGGTCCTATCAGCGACAATGAGCTCATGGAGTGGAGGGCGGTGATGAGGGGTGTCGAGGGGACGGCCTACGAAGGTAAATCTCTCTCCCTCGCCTTTGCAGTCGTTACGGCGCCCATCCAGGCGCGGCACAGAAGCTTGCGCCGCAAGTTTCCAACCACTTGCTAGCTCTCCTCCCTTCTTCAGCCCTTCTCTTGCGTCTCATGGTGTTTCTGCCAAGTGCCGTGCAGCTCACGACGCCACAGGCGGCCTTTGGGCCCTCCACATCACCCTCCCCCCAACTTATCCCCTCCACCCGCCAACAATCCGCTTCACGACGCCCATCTGCCACCCCAACATTCACTTCCAGACCGGCGAGATCTGCCTCGACCTGCTCAAGACGTCCTGGTCGCCCGCCTATACCATCTCCTCGACGCTCACCAGCGTGCACCAGCTGCTCACGTCTGCAGAGCCGGATAGTCCGCTGAACATCGATATCGCGCAGTTGTTCCGGCAGGGGGATATGGTTGGAGCGGAGGGGCTGATTAGGTTCTATGTTGAGAGTGAGCGGTGGAGGGGATGGTGAGGTTATTGAAGCTTAGAGGTGTGCGTGGGGACTGGATATCAAAGGGAGGCGGGCTGTACACATGCAAATGGCAACTTATATGGGGTGCGTTGGCTCATCATACTGGCAGTGGTGCGCTCGGAGTGCTGATTTGGACCAAGACGCAAGGCACAGAGTCATAGGGTCGGTTGTGAGTTGGTATAGGAGAATAGGAGGACGACGGGATTGCTCCAGCGGCGACCGGCGGATTGCATAGTTAAGCTGGACTTGTTGTGGAGCCTTAACCGCGCAGCAGCTTCTTTTTGCAATAAGTACGATAGATTAAGTCCTGAATCATACGAGCCTGTTGGACCGCAAAGATGCAGGACTTGTTGAAGTTGGCAAAAACTCATTTCCGAGAAACCCCCTACTGTCTTCAACAACCTCAAGCCACCACAGTACGGGCGACTGCTAGCCGGGTCGATAGATCCAGCTAAGTAGGTGTCTTGACAGAGTGGGTTTTTTAGTCTAAGCTCATGGCGATTCGAACTTGGGTTGACAGAGTAATACACCATCCCGTGCTCACTTTTGCGTACACAATCAACCATGTTGCCAGCGCCTAATCATCTAGTGGTGACAGTAAACATAATGGCAAAAGCTCACTTCTGAGAAACCCTTAATGCCTTCACACCCGGATCCTTGATAGGCCCCTAGACGGTACCATCTAGGGGACTATCAAAGACCCGGAATAGTATTGACGAAGTAGTGTTTCTGGAAAGCTTATTTGTGGTTCAAATAGATCTCGAACTGACGACGTTCGAAAGTAGTAGAGCTAGCCACACTTAGGTAATGAATCTAACCATGCCACTCAATTGATAGCGGCTAAAGCGAGGCTGTATAGTGTATCAAATGACGAAGGAGTGCACTCCAAATAGACAGAAGTGCATAAATAAAGCTATTGCATCAGGCAGCAGCTAATAGCCTGTGTTTCTTCAACTAAACAACCTATTTATCTTATGCCCTTACAACACGCCGTTCAGTGGATGCTAGGAGAATGTTGCAGCGGTAACCGGCAGCTAAGGAAGAATGCACTTAATATCAAGGTGAACCCTGAAATTGCAGCCCATATACAATAGAAACCAGTCCAGACTCGGTTGCCTTACCTAACAAATCGTACCATTTCAGGCGTAAAGAAACGGATACGAATTAAGAAACACATGAAGCGCCTAAGTAGGATTCTTTGCCGAATTCCTTTATCCGAAAGATGACTGGAGGTTGGACAATCGGCAGCGGACGCCAGGGATTAAGACCAAAAATAATTGATGGAATATAGGCATATTACAACTGCTGCTAAAGGAAGGGGTGCTTTCCCTGCATTCTCAAAAGCTACTCCGGTCCTTTCATGTTGTTGACGGTTCAAGGTGACGATAGTAATTATCGGGCAAACTATATAGACCGTTCAGCACGCGGTAGGAGGTTGGTTTGGCTTATCCTATCAGGGAGTACTTCTGGGGAACCATTGAAGTTTGCTACCGAAAATAACCGCTTGCTGGGCTCAGTGACAGTAAGGAGCCTGCAGTTGCTGCCAACTCAAGTCTTAGGTCTGCTGCTTATAGCTAGGTAGGTACCTGTGGTAGGCTATCTTGTATCGAGCCCTTTTTCCTTCGCTTGGTTGTAACGGTATTACACTCGCTGATAGAGTATAAGTGATTTCGTGGTCCATCTTGGAATTCTCCGAATCCACGTGACTTTAGGACTTATGCCCGTTCAATGTTACTTTGTCAACCTCCCACAGGGGACGATCACTATCAGCATGTCGGAAGGGTAGACATGGACCGGACCGCTAACCAAAGCCATGGACATCCCCAATCCCCGCCGTATCCTCGCCGTCGGCGCATCCGATTCAGGCGTCGTTCAGCTCCTCAAAGACCTCACAGGTTCTGCGCCCAAGCAAGTCGATGACAGCGTCGCCGGTCTCTCGCATAACCTGCGGCTCGAGACGTCCTACTACACTGCCGACATCCCCATCTGGATCGACGATATCTCCAACACCCAAGATTGGCGAACCGAGTTCATGAAGCCTGAGGCCAGAGAGGTCGTCAACGTTGTAGGAGCTTGGATATACTGCTTTCGCAAGCCAGTTCACGAGGAAGACACGGAGGGTATCAAGGCTAGTATGTTAGCTATTCAGGAGGTGGTAGAGAGGGCTTGCGGGTATGGCTGGGATGGGATATCTATGGCTGTTGCGATGCCGCAGAGCATAACGCCGCATCTGGAGAAGAGCGCAGAGGACTGGGAGGACTTGTGTCGCGATTTCGGGTTCGAGTATGTTGATGCCGAGGCAAAGGGGAAGAACGAGTTTGGAGGTGTGTAATAAGAAGCGTCGGCTTCCGCTGTTGATTCACGAAAAATGCTGACTTGGGCAGAATCTATGGGTGTGGCTCGTATCAGAGAAGCCCTCGAAGCGAACGACTGGGCCGCGGACGACCTGGACGCTGACGCCTCAGAAGGTCTGGATGATGAGGAAGCTTTCGCAGACACCTTCGCCGCAGAGGGGGCGGAGATGGGCAGGGAGTTCATGGGGCTAAAGACTGCCATTAACGGGGGCGATAGCGCGACCGATCATCTTGCTGAAGATGACGAGGCACTTCAGGTAGAAGAGATGGAACGCATGATGTCCAGACTGCATTTCATCAAGGGTATGTCTCGCGCTGTTTTATCTAGATCTAAGGCCCTGTTCGCGAGGGTTTCCTTCCGGCTCTTAGTCTAATGGAGCAGCAGATAAGAGTACAGAAATGTCGCAAGCTGAAAGAAGGAGGTTTGCCGCGAAAGCTGTCAGCGACCTAATGAAGAATGCACCATGAGGGGCGTTCTGTATTAGAGCATCGTGAGAAGGCAGAACAACATCTTTATCGAAAGAGGACCAAGCTGCCTCCACTGTGCACCTTGTCGGTACAACCGCAAGCGTGCTGGTGGATACTCCAGTCGATACATGGCCAGCGGTCCCTCTAGCGGCTATATCAAGAGAGTCACCCTTATGAAAGGTGACATCCTTTCGAGCTTGGGCTCTGGTTCAACGGTGCCCGCTCAACGGCGGGTTGCCATCCTGGTTTGCTGCGCATGCATCTACAACAGGGAGATACCTGAGTAGCAAACACTAGGGTTTACTGTCTCTCAATCTCTGCGGGTTTCTGTGCAAGGAAGACACAAGTTTGCATCCAGCAACAGCCAAGCTGGATAAAGAGATGTGATCTGGACTTCCCGGATCAAGCCATTTGGTCACCAGTTGTGTATGGGGTTCCAGGTGTGAAGCGTTCAATTCTTTCACGTCCAGCTCACTAGAATGTTCGGTGATTCCAGGTGAACAACGATCGGCCACACTTATAAAATCACACCTTCGCCGCTGAGAGCTCTTCCGACCCCCACCCTCTTTCGACACGTTAAAAAGATCCTCCGCAGCTATTACATTTTGCTATCACCTACCTCAAATCGGCGATCAACATCATGACTGACTCGCAACTGCTATTGCTTCAGGCTGGTCAGCATCTCATTCTGCCGGGCAGCCTCCACGAAGCAGAAGCACATCAATTCATTAGTAAGCTGATCTGGAGCACCACTACGTAGAGGACAAGACACTGATGCGTAGAAGCTCATGCAAGCGTGCTTTTTAACGCCGAGTTGTCTGAGATTAGGCTCGTTTTCGGACAGGACCCCCTGCTTGCCCTAGCATCCAACGGTTATTACGCCGCCCTTGTTCGAAACTCGAAAAATTCTGTTGAACCCGCGAATGGGTCCATGGAAATCCTAATACGGGGCAGCGGAAGGACAGGTAAGGAGCTAGCGGAGACCAAGCGAGCGGCGATTCGGCAGTTGGCAATGGATATGGAACATGAGGTTGTGAAGATCCTCAAAGAGAAAGATGAAGCGAAAGAGGGACGCAAGCGGCAGAGGCAAACCGGATGAGTCAACAGGTCTAAGCAGCTTGTCATAACTTTGGGCGGCTACTGTGTTAAATGCGCGAGACTGTCTACTGCGGCGATGTCGGCGTCCCGAAACCGCATCGAACAGGGAAGAGTGACTGTTTCCCTTGTGCGTCCAACATCTTTCGGGAATATTAGGATAGTGTGCCTGAGCGAAGTGCGACATCGGAGTTTTGCGTCGACTATGAGTGAGCGGGATTCTCTGAGCCCTGGGCCTCTATTCCATTGTTGATCTGCCGCCTGAAACGGATCTGTCAGCTTACGAATCTGAAAGACCTCTCGATAGCAGTCGCCAGAAATCCTTTCAGCTCATATCTCTTCAATTTTGCATGAAATCCCTTTGAAGATTAGATGATAGCCTAGACTGTGACGATAGTCCACTGTATCTCCTTGCTAATTATGATAATCCATTTGCTTCTACTTTACTAGAGAAGTCGCTTCACCATAGACGAATAATAGGATATCGACTGAGTAACGGAGACTAAGTGGAGGATGCGACCCAATGCGATCAGGGTTTGACTCGCACAGGCTCAAGATTGCCTCTCCGCTCTATAGTCAAACTCTGTGCATCGCGTTCCTACATTACATGTCGGACGGGAGGGCTTGAAGCGAGTTTCACACTACTTCGCACACTGCTATGCTAGAGCAACTTTGCACTGTGATAAATCGACTGTGAGTGATGAAACGAAGCCCCTCTTGCAACGATCAGAATGACCGACGTAATCCGTTTGCGAAGGCTATACGCAGCCCCGGTTTGGAAGCATTGCGGTTATTCGCATCCTTTTCATTACATCTTTCGACCCGCCTTGGGCGAAGAGCTACCTCTTAACTTCGTTTTCGCCGCTGACACCTCTTCCGAAAGATATCATCTACCTCAGCACCTCCAAAGTCGACACCTTTGAAGAAACACTGTTCAGTGAGGGCCGCTTTGGTCATGGCCACCTCACTGTCACCATTCCTAGCAGCCAGTCAACATCTCCTTCCACCCGGCGTTTTTGGCAAGAAACAGGCGCACGCATTCCTTAGTAGGTTGGACAAAAGCTTCATATCGACAACCATCGAGATGCTAACTCGTCTGAAGCTAATGCAACGGCTCTATTCGATGTCGAACTGTCAGAGATCAATGCTCGTCTTCGGCAATGACATGGGTACTTTCGCCGCTCTTGTCCGCCACCCCAAAGGTCGAACCGCATCTCCAAAACCAGACCTCGAGGTGTTGATGAAGGGCTATATCTGCCGTGCCAGGCGTGGTGAGGACAGCGAGGAGACTGCCATGCGGGCACTGGCAACCCAAATGCAAGGAGCAGTTTGCCGTATGATCGCTGAGGCAGAGGAGAAAGCAAAGAAGTCTCGTGAACCAGTGGCTAGTGAACGTAGCACTGGCGAATCAACTGAATCGCTTTTTGTGCAGTAGTGAGTAGGGGACCTATTCAACGCTATGAGTACATATCGATTCGGTGGATAGGATTGGCTCAGCCATGGAGGGCTGGAGTGAAAAGCGGGTTGAAGGTACACCATTGCGCTTTGCTCGCTTGGCATTGAGAAGAAGACAGTCCGTGGACAGGACTTTAATGGATTATGCAAAGGCTCCCCCCTCGTTCCAGTGGCTCAAAACGAAGGCTCCGCGCAGTGGACAGACATGTGGATAGTTGAGATACAGTTGAAATCAAGCTTTCCGTAGTGCTGTCGAGTGGCTTGCGCTAAGATTAGCTCTTACTTGTTTCGTCTTAGCCTGAACCAGCTCTCCATTTCCAAAAATATAAGTGAAGTATAGAAAAACTACAACATGCCAATCCGATAGCACTTCGTCCACAACACCGCCAAAATGCCGCCGAAGGGGAGCGGAAGAGGCGGCTCGCGAGGCCGACCCAGGGGTAGAGGCAGGGGAAGAGGGGGAGCAACCTCTTCAGTCGAGCAAGAGCCGCCGATAGCAGAAGCACCTGAGCCAATCCAAGGCCCACCATCACAGGGCTCCGAAAAGCCTGCAGTCCCGACGCCCGTAAATTCAGAGCTAGTTCCCACGCCTACTGCGACGCAGAGTGCTCCTCCACAATCAGATGTCCCCTCCACAGCAGAAGCCGCGGCAGCTGCCCCGCCCTCAGATTCTCCTGCAGCAACACCTACCGATTCTGGTAAAAGTAGCGGTCCATCGAGGAAACGCACTACCGCTCCTGCAGTCCGGGGTACCAGAGGACGTTTGAAAGTTCCCCCGAACACAATTCGACGCAGCAAAGAGGAAAGAGATGCGGCTGAGCAGGCAGAGGCCGCGCGCAAGCGGGAAAGGCTCGCGGAGCTCCAAGCGAAGGCCGATGCTGCGGAGGCAGCCAGGAGGCGCGATTTCAGAGGGCGAGGACGCGGCGGTGGCAGTTCGAGGGGTAGGGGTGGATTCATGAGTGCGGAAACTTTTAGCGGGCCGTTTAGCGGTGGGATGGTTTCTGCTGGTAAGCTCTGCTGCAGATGGAGAGAGTGCTGTGGGAGGGTTGATGCTGATGGACCGTGCAGATACAAGCAGAAGTGCCCAGCGCGGTCACGAACGTGGATGGGATCGTGAGGGCTACTCTCGAACAGACGGTCAGCGCTTCTTCGGCCAACGGCAACATCAGATCAAGAAGGAGCCTAGAGTCAAGGATGAGAATCTCGAGGGACAGCTTGGCATCAAGTCTGAGTACGAGGATGGCGGATACATATCATCCGATCCTGAAGAAGCAATCGAAGGCCCACGTATGGACGTCGACTATATCAACCTCGTCAGCAGCGATGAAGACGAAGAAGGCGAAGGAGGAGGCCCATCTGCTGGGAAGGCAAGAGAGCGCACCTACTCGCCGGTGTCTGGCCTTCCGCCGATCCGATTAGCCCGTGCTCCGCACAAAGAACGTCGCGTCGGCATCAACACAGACGCTACGACAGCCACCTCTGGTGAGATCAACGCACGCACTATGGAAGGTGCAGCCGATACCTCAGTTGAGGCAGCTGCCAGGTCCGCCGTGAGGAAGGGTAAAGCTCGGGCCAAAGACGTCGAGATCGTCTCTGAAACCCGGACCTGGAAGGGTGTGTATCAAGACGAGGATGCGTCCACTGTGGCGGACGGTATCAGGATAAAGGACGAACCAACCGATGAACCCATGGCTATCACTGTGCCGGAAGACGTGGCTGTCGGCAGGGGCAACTCTACACAAAATGAGCCCCTCAAGGAGCCGCCTTCCTCCCCGGAACAGAGCAAGAAGAAGATTCCTAAGCGCCGGAAATCCTCTTTTCAAGACCGTAAACCTGTCCTTCAGACAGATGAAGAGCGCGCTGAGTGGAAGAGGCATGAGACTGATCTCCAGATCCTGGCGGAAGAGCTTGGAAACATTGGGATCCGTCCGACACCCGCCGCTTCCAGTTCCTCTGCTCCTGTGGCAGGGACACAGGACGCACAAGACGCCGAAGGCGACACCGCCATGGTTAATGCCGACCAGCCGGCCGCCGAGGGAGAGGCCGAAGCGGCCACCGCCCCCGACAAACGCGCAGACCGCGTCTACCTGTTTCAACTGCCTCCCATCGTCCCCGATCTTCAGCCTGCACCCTCTTCCAGCGTTAAAAAGGAGCCGCAATCCCCCACCCTTACACGAGACAACGCCATGGATATCGATGCGCCTCCCAATGGCTCCACTGCAGTGCCCAATACCCAAGCACCCACCACAGCAGGCGCCAGCACAGAAGCCAACCCTGTTAAGATAGAAGATAGCCCCCTCGACTTCTCAAACCCGATGGGTCCCTCTCTCAAGCCCGGTCTAGCGGGCAAGCTACGCATCCACCGCTCCGGCCGCGCGACGTTGGATTGGGGCGGCACTTCACTGGAACTGTCAATGGGGACGGATGTGAAGTTCCTGCAGGATGTTGTTGTCACGAGATTAGACGATGAGAAAGAACGGGTGGGAAGAGAGGGTGGGGAGTCATGGGGACTGGGGCAGGTGAGGGGCAAGTTTGTGGTTACGCCTGACTGGGCGGAGATCGTAGGCTGATCTAGATACGGGAAACGGTTTTGATGGGGACACTCTCACGGATGAGGATATCCAAGCGGCATTGCTCGGCGTTTCAGTGGATGTGAGCATTTATCTGGCGTATTGATCTTGCGGACTTTCCAAGCCTAAGGTAGCTTCCTCAAGATAGCCAATCAAGACTTGAGGCTATCACACCACCAGAATTAAATCAAGGCCGCCGTAACGAAGCCGGAGGATCTATGTAGCTACGCCTAATTGCTGCTCCGGCATACAAGTGCTTTCTGCAATTTGGATCTTGGATGAGATGGAACAATTGTCGCCCCGCCAATGGCTCCGTGCACAAGCCGTTTCGCGGTCTCGCGCTACCGCCATCCCTGCCGCCAGCCTCAGGCACAGTCCTCCGATCGGTTGTCCATTCCTCTGTCGCTTTTACCACAAACTGCGCCCACAATCGCTGAAACAGACTGACTTCGCGAATTCGCCTAGAGCATGCTGACTGTGAATTGGTCCTGACGCGTCTCTTACACGCCTGTTTCGTGCTAACCCGCTTCGGGGGCGTCCGCGGCTATCAACAAACCCTCAGATTCGGTTCCTGCGATAGACTAGATTCCTCGACGAGTTCGCTCCACTACCCACCAGCTGCTGTCGCCACGGAGACCGGGACAGCCACTTGCGGCACCTCACAGCAGTTATGGATATCCGTCAGAACTACCAGAACTTTCAGCCCTTTCAGCCTCCAGATCCGCTCCCGCAAGATCAGTCAATGCGGGACGATTCTAGCATCAACACCATAACAGCCTCTACCGTCCAAGCCCTCCCCGAAGTCCACACAGCATACACTCCCGAGCCGCCGCATCAATCCTCGCGCCCACATACATCCTACTCCGATACAGGCTTCTCGCGGTCGTACTCCCACGACTCGCAATCGCGGGACCAGTATCATCCCGGTTACACTCAGTTCTCACACTCTCAAACTTCGACGCCAGACGCAGTAACACCTCCACCGCCGCAATACGGCTACAGCCAGAATGGGCATTATGGACAGGGCATGCCGAGCAGACCATCATCTGGGCACACAGGCGGCCCCCAAAGCGGCCACGACCGCTACTCCCACAGCGAAGGCAATGCGCGGTCCTCCGGCTATCAAGAACCAAGTCAGCGATCCTATCAAGCGGCGCCTCCCCAGCCGCAGCCGCAACAACAGTACCAACAGCAGCCGCCCCCACAGCAACAGAAGGAGAACACATCGGTGGTCATAAAAGTAGGCATGGTGGGCGATGCGCAGATCGGCAAAACCAGCCTGATGGTCAAATATGTCGAAGGCTCTTGGGACGAAGACTACATCCAGACGCTGGGCGTGAACTTCATGGAGAAGACCATCAGCATCCGGAACACTGAGATCACATTTTCAATCTGGGATCTGGGCGGTCAGAGGGAGTTTGTCAATATGCTGCCGCTCGTGTGCAACGATGCGGTGGCGATACTGTTTATGTTCGACTTGACAAGGAAGAGCACGCTGAATAGCGTCAAGGAGTGGTATAGACAGGGAAGGGGGTTCAATCGGACGGCGATTCCGGTGCTGGTGGGGACGAAGTATGACTCCTTTGTCGGGCTGCCGCAGGCGGAGCAGGAGGAAATAAGCAACCAGGTTAGTTTGGTGTGCTCGTTCTATTTGGCTGCAGAATTTCCAGCCAACCCAGTACCACAACTCGATTATCAGAACTTGCGTGGCCAGTCTCAAGTGCTGTTTTAGAGTATCGAAGCTAACGAGTGCTTGTTCGTAGGCCAAGCGTTTCGCGAAAGCGATGAAAGCCTCCCTCATATTCAGCAGCACAAGTCACAGCATCAATGTGCAGAAGGTAGCTTCCTACTAGCCTCTAGCCTCTCCTCTTTCCCCATCGCCGTTGATCGCTTCAAAGTGGCTTGCTGACGCTCGACCTAGATCTTCAAAATCGTCCTTTCGAAAGCATTCGACCTTCGCTGCACGATCCCAGAAATTGAGCACGTGGGCGAGCCGTTGCTCCTGTACCAGTCCGTGGGTTAGCTTAAGACGTTCATCCTTCTTCCCTCCTCCGGGTCGGCGTGAGAACCATTGAGTACGCGAGATGGCTGGATGGACGTCTGCGATGTTAAGATGGTTTACACGAGCAACGGCGCTACGATGCGACGCTCTTTCTCTCTTGTACCCTGCATATTTGGGCGACTGGTGCGGTAAACGGATGTGCGCGTACGCTGCTTTTTGACTGGTCTCGGGCAAGGGGAAAGGCGAAGTTGTTGGATTGAGAGCCACATCGCCCTAGGGCTGTAGTGTGTACGCTGAGAGCGCAATCTCAATGACGAGGAGAAGGCTGCGACCAGAAGAGGTATTTTGTTCTCTTCTGGTTCTACACGCAGCGGGGTACACAGCTGAAAGCCTACCCGCGATATACCGACCCCTGCAAATACTTTTATCCGGCTTGCCTGTGTAGGACATGGATCTGATCTGATCAAGACAGGCCGACAGATCCTTCCAGTTGTCACCGGACGAGATTGTGTGCATTCCCGTCTATCAAATACGTCAATCACATTTCTCGCTCTACGCCATGTTGTAGTTGAGCACTGGTGTTATCTTATCTCATCTCATCTCGCCTTATCGATAGCCATCTTGAAAAAAGTTCTGGGGCACTTCTAACATCCCACATCATACGTCAACTCTACTCAAACAACATACGCAGACCAGTGAACAGCGCTCCAAACAGACACTATGAGCAAGAGACCAGCAGAACTACCCGAGAGCGAGACGGACCCGCGCAAGAACGGCGAGCGTCCCAGTAACATCCAGAATGACGGCGACGCGAGCGACTTCGAGGACGAATACGAAGACGAGTATGAGAGCGAGGACGAGATATTTGAGGCCGGTGTAGACGGCCGGCCAGACGAAGAAAGAGAAGCAGAAGAGCGCGAGGGTCTGTAAGCAACAGCCGCCCCGCCAGATGTACGCCGGCTGCTCATACATGCAACAGATGCGATGGATGTGGACCAAGACACCTTCATAGTTGGGCGGAATCGACTCGCTGCAGGCGAGACACTTGCGCCGGACCTCTCCACATATCAAATGCTACATACGCTAGAGTCGCCATGGCCGTGCCTCTCCTTTGACATTGTTCGCGACAATTTAGGCGACAACCGCAAGTCATACCCAGCGACCGTCTACGCCGTAGCCGGCACGCAAGCGGCGCGAGGGCACGAGAAGGAGAATCAGCTTATGGTCATGAAGCTCTCAAGCCTCTCACGCATGGAGAGAGAACACGAGGAGGACTCAGACGAAGAATCCGATGACGAAAGCGCAGATCCAATCCTCGAGACAAAGTCCATACCCCTAACATCCACCACCAACCGCATACGCGCCTTTCAATCGCCCCAAGCCACCTCCGCTAGGCCGCCCACCACTCTAACAGCATCCATGATGGAGAGCGGCCAGGTCCTCATCCACGACGTAACACCCCACCTCACCTCCTTCGACACGCCCGGCACAACCATCACCCCGCAGCAAAACAAGCCCCTCTACACCATCGGCGCACACAAGCGCTCAGAAGGCTACGCAGTCGACTGGTCCCCCCACGTCCCCGAAGGCCGCATCGCAACCGGCGATGCCGACGGTCGCATCTTCATTACCACCCGCGCGCCCAATGGCTCGTTTAGCACAGACTCTGCGCCGTTTACGGGGCATACCGGCACTGTTGAGGAGATCCAGTGGTCGCCTAGCGACAAGACGACCTTCGCTTCCGGCGGCAACGACGGGTACGTCAGGGTGTGGGACACGCGGTCGAAGTCGCATAAGCCGGCGTTGTCGGTTCCTGTGACCAGTACGGATGTTAATGTGCTCTCCTGGTCGCGACAGACGTCGCATCTGCTCGCCTCCGGCCACGAGGACGGCGAGTGGGCGGTCTGGGACCTGCGGCAGTGGCGGACGGCCGCACAGGCACAGAAAGGAGCCAACACGATCAGCAGGCCGGAGCCTGTGGCCTCGTTCACCTTCCACAAGGAGCAGATTACCAGCTTGGAGTGGCATCCCACGGAAGATAGTATTGTGCTGGTAGGCGCGGGGGATAATACGCTGACGTTGTGGGATCTAGCGGTTGAGCTGGACGATGAGGAGAGTAGGGATACGGCGGGCGTGAAGGATGTGCCGCCCCAGCTGCTGTTTGTGCATTATATGGAGATGGTCAAGGAGGGGCATTGGCATCCGCAGATTCCGGGGACGGTCATGGCGACGGGGGGGAGCGGGTTTGGGTGAGTTTATTGAGTGTTCACTGGTCGTACTTGGGAGTTTACTGACGGTCGCAACAGTGTGTTCAAAACGATCAGTGTTTGAGCTGTTATTGCTGACGGTTATGTCTACGAAGAAGAAGAAAGCAGGATCCCTGACTTGCGCAGTTTAACAACATCTCCACAGCAAATTCTAATGACCTGAGAGGAGAGTGAACACGATCGCTCCGAAGTTATCTACTGCTACTGCTGTGAACGTGGGGGAGGAGATATGTCAGCGACAGAATCGAAGTTGTGTTGCGGCCGTAGATAGGGATTGTTAAGATCGACGCGCCTACACAGCTTACATACCTCGAAGCGTAGGTAGCGGAGGATTGTTCCATTGACGGGATTGTGGCTTTCAGAAGCTATCATAAAGGGTGCCTCACGTGCGTTGAGGTGCTGATCTCGTGAAGCAAATTCATCTCGTGTGGAAAATTACTTGCCCGGCACACTTCCGGCTTTCTTTCGCTCTACGACATTCTTTCCGTGGCCCACAACCTCTGTACCAAATCTGAGATATTGAGGAGCCTCAAAGTCACAGCCGGGCCCGTTGCCGGCCTTTATCAATTACCATTCCCTCACTGCACCAAATCCAAACCTACCAAATGGCATTCGTCGTCGTCTGACTTTTCCATCCCATGTTGACTTTGTAGTCACGACATACCACCCAGACGCCTGAACCTCGGACTTCAACCGCACTACCAAGCTCATTCGGCTCGTACTGCCTGTCCGCTCTGGAACAATGGCGCCGCAAAAGGTACCGTGGGAGGTCTCTTGAAAGAACCTCACTGAGCTTGTTGCTGACCTCCCCCATACAGTTCCGTCTTCCTACTCCCCGACGCGCAGCTGTGAAGCCAGTGTGTACTCACGTTGAGATGGACCGCCTCTTCGGATCCTACCAGTGCCAACTGTGCCTTCGCAAACCCTCTCACGGCTGGGTCTACATCTGCAGGCAAGACACTCGCCCAAGCCCTCCAGCCGCCTTGCCGTCTGCAGTCGCGCCAACCTCACACGTCTCGTCAGATCCATCCAATCCCAGCCCTTCGGAGCTTATATCGTTGGGTTTCAGCAATTCCGAGATCAAGGCAGTGGAGAATGCCGTCTACACGGTCGAACAGCTCGTTAGGATTGGGAAGCAGAAGCAGCACCTCAAGAGTGTGATTGAGAGCGAGCTTGGAAAGACTGCAGACAGCCCCACATCAGCAACGTCTCCTGAAAATACACCGCCGAGTATCACGCACTCACCCCAGGACGCGTCATCCAGCGATGTCAACCACCGCAAGGACAGCGTACAACAGGAGTCCATGCCCGGAGCACACAAGATCCTCGGGAAGTTTAAGCGCAGGTTGCGGCAGGAGTCGAAAACATGCACATTCCTGTGCTGTCACTCGTGTCGTCCGTACTATAGGGACCGCATCTATACGTCGGTCAATTCAGTCTTTGCGGAAGGTGTCGAGCCACTCCAACCGAGTGACACTGCTGAACTTCGAGTGCTCGATGCAACCGTTCTCCGCAGCATCGGTATCCCTACGCCGTATGAGCTTCGCCCCGTCGAGTCCTCTCTCGATCTCGCATCCATGGCTAGTCAATCCACGTGGGCGACCCACCAGTCTGACGTTGAGTTCAAAGAACACGCGAGAAAGTCCGCCAGACGATTCTACTCTCTTCGCACCAGCTCCTCCGCGGATCCTCCGGACGCCGAACGGCCAACTCCACCAGGCCTTCGGCGCACCGTGAAACAAGCCTTCCAGTCTTTCAACGTTTTCAAAGGCTCGAGGGAGTCGTCGTCCGCGGGCTCCAACCTCACCTTGCCCCCGTCAGATAGTCAAGACTTCCGCGTGTGCGACAAGGACGCCGAGGAGGTTGACTTGGGGCTTCTACACCGCCATTCCAGAGGTCCAAGCCGACTATCCGGCACCTGTCCGGACGTCACGCCATCCGCGAGGCACAGTCGGCGGGGTAGTGTCGCGAGTGAGTCTTCTGAGGGATCGGAGGTCGAGGTTGAGGGAGGTGTAGCTCTGACCGAGGAGGCGGTGGAGATGAATATGCCGGACATCATGACCCAAGCTTAGAGATAGGAGGCGGACTTTGCGAGACAACGATAATGAGCTGTAATAACTTCCGGATGACTGGAAACGGGCGTAACGAACACAACGAACACAAAGAGTTCTTGCTGCATGTTCTGCACCTAGCAGTATGGCTTGGTCCTCCGAAACACCTCGCCAGGCACGCCTAAATATCAAACATGGCCTCCCTTGCTCGCGTAGTAAAATGTACAAGAAGGTCGATAGCAATGACATGCGGAAGCCCCGCGGCCAACGAGCCGTTCGTTTGGGTACCGTACGTAGATATGCAGGAGCCCATTGCTGAGTTGCGACAAGTCAACCACAATCTCACCGAACAACAGCAGCCGTAGCCTTCCATCGCTCCCTCAACCCCACCCCTCCCGCGACCATACCCAGCAACCCGACCCAACTCTCACTTAAGCAGCCCTCCTCCAAACTCCAATGAATTGTAAGCGGCCCATACGCCGCATTGCTGACCAAATCCCTCCACCAAAGCTCCTGCTCCGCCTTCCGCTCAATCTTGTCCTCCTTCTCCCCCTCCCCGTCCGTACTTCTTCTGCTGTGTTGTTTCCGCCACAGATACCCCAGCCTCAAGAATTCCAGCCCAACATGCGCAGCCCAAAACCGACTGCTCCACACCCACCATCGCGCCTGTCTCCTTTCGCCTCTCTCACCGACCCAGCCCTCGGACACCAGGACGCCGTGACTCGCCAAATAGGCCCCGTTTTCCAGGACCTGGTATGCAGCGTTCACGCCCACCTGCGCCCACGTGATACGTCGCAGTACCGCATCCGCCGGCGGGGAGGCCCAGGTGTCGCGCGCCCAGGCGTAGATACCTAGGAGGCCCCACAGGCGGATGAAGATGCGGAAGTCGGCGATTAGGGCCGCGAGGGATTTTAGGGAGGTGGTTGTGCGGCTGAGGAGCGCGATGGAGGTGGGCGCGGGGAGGCTGGCTATAAGGGTCTCGCCTGGCAGTAGCGCATCAGAAGCTTTGGAGGCTATGGATGCTGCGAATCGGGAGAGCCGTAAGGTCAAAAGGGGGGAGAGCCGCGCGTGGAGGAAGGCCAGGGTGTAGGAGAGGGTGCAGAGGGTGCGGTCAATGCCGGAGGGGGTGGAGAGGAGGGCGTGGAGGCGGAGGAGGAGGATGTCCGTTCTGCGGAGGAGGGAACGGGTGGAGGGAAGGTGTGGTGAGGACATTTTTGTTGTTGGAGAGGCTGGAGAGCGGATTGGGAGGTTGGAAGGTGTGAGAAGGCGCTGTCTGTGTTGTTTAACTTGGAGGTCGAACGTCGACGTTGGACCGAGGCTCTTGATGTTTCTCGGGGAGATCGGCCCGATAGGGCTGTAAGATGGGAGTAGGGGGTCATGCGGGTGACACAAATCGCCGGACTCGAAAGCAGATAGGTCTTCAGTCAGCTGAGGAAAGGTCACGAATAGAAGCAAGTCCTTATAGTATACTACCTTATGAGTGTGTTTAAGCTACAGCTAGAGGTGGAACGGCTGGGGTAAAGATCTTTAGGAACGTGGTGAGTTTACTGGATTTTAGGGATTTAGGAGTGAATCGGAAGTCCGGCGATTGGCAGTTCGCACCTAGGTAATAGAAATTGCCGGACTCTAGAAAAACAGATGGGTCTTTAGTCAGCTTAGGGAGACTATGAATAGGCGTGATTCTTCATAGTATGCTGCCATATAAACATGTGCAAGCTATACCTAGAGGTAGGATAGCTAGAGCATAGGTCTTCAGTCAGCTTAGAGAGGTTATAACTAGGCGTAATCCTTTATAGTATGCTGCTATATATACATATGTAAGCTATACCTAGAGGTAGGATGGCTAGAGTAAAGATCTTTAGAGATATAGTGAATCTAGTAGATTTCGGTGATTTAGGAGTAAGTTGTGAGTCCGGTAGTTTACGAGTCCGGCGATTTCTGTCACTTATGTGGGAGTCTGTCGGAACGATGGGGTTTTCAGCAGTGCAGTGTTTTAGTGCATCGATCACCTGAAGCGTCTTCGATCTAGGAGTTGCCCGTTTCCGTTGTTCGTATAAATGTACAGGAGTGGCATTCTATGCGGCAATACTTGTTTTGGATGAGCTTTGGATAGTTATTCTCGCGCACGAAAGTTGAAATAGTTTGTTGGATATATACAAGTCTGTAGCCATGAAGCCTGCGGAAAGAATACGAATAGCAGCTTCTCTAAGAGACTCTAGGTGTACTGTTTCTACACACAACACTAGTACACCGTCTTGGTCGGGTGTCTCCTGAGAATAATATGCGCGAAAACGTAAACGCCAATCCCGAACGCACACATCCCAGCGACAACACCAAAGCCCAAGAGATACTTCGGCGCGTCTGTAGTAGGGAAAAGATACGCGCCATAGATCTGAGCAAGATTTCCGAGCGCGTTGACCAGCGCAAGAGAGACGGCGCGTGTCTCTTGCGGCATGGCACCGAAGGTCGAGGCGCAGTACGACAGTGCGAGCCCGTTGGACGCCCAGAGCCCTGTGGCCATGAAGACAAGGAGCACGTACCGCGCCGTGAAGTTGTAGACGAGGCAGATAACGATGGCGCAGATGAGGGCCAAGGTGAGCCAGCTGGCAATGACGAGGCCGCGGACTTTGGGATACTTATCGCAGAAGTAGCCAGTTGTTAGAACGGCGACGAAGGCGACGGCATAGATTGGGACTGTCATGTATTGCGCCATTATCGCGGTGTAACCCAGGCCTCTGACTAAAGTCGGATAGAAGTATGAAAGAGTGGACGAGCCGACGATGACCATATAGCCGGCCACCATCATCCAGACACGCCAGTTGGTGACGCACTGCTTCAAGGCTTGTAACGAGGTGAGCTTGGGCGCGCCTTCAACCCGGGCGGTCACGTTGTCGGCGGCGAGGCGGGCAAGAGCGACGTGGCGCTCACGATCGCTGAGCCGCTTGGTGGTGGCTGGGAAATCGAGTAGGATGAAGTGGGCGATAACCGCCCATACAATTGTGGCAACACCTTCGACGATCTAACAACGACAGTTAGGCTCGTGAATCCGAAATAATGGGCTCGAGCATAACTTACGAAAAGCCATCTCCAGCCGCGGATCCCATGAGCTCCGTCCAGTCCCCCTGTGATGGCCCCCGCCAAAATGCCTCCAAAAGCGCCGCTAAGGACAGCAGCAGAGATATAGACAGCGAATCGCTTGGATTGTTCGTTCTTCTTATACCAGGAAGACAGGATGAAGAGAATGCCGGGTGCAAACCCCGCTTCAAACATGCCGATAATGAGGCGGAGGGCGATGAGATGCTTGTAGGACTGCGCGGCGGCCATGACACAGGTTGCTGCGCCCCATAAGACCATGATAGTCGGCAAAAAAATGGACGGTCGCGACTTGGCCAAGATCATATTGGAGGGGACCTCGAAAAGCACGTAGGTGATGAAGAAGACCACGAGGATAATTGAGTACTGGTTCGAAGTAAGGCTCAGGTCGTCCGCCATTCCTGCGATACGTGCATTCCCGATATTGGTCCTGGTGGCTCAGAGTCAGAGAGAGTATAGCAAGGATAGAGGGGAGGGGGAGCTACCTGTCCATATAGGACAACAGGTACATAAGCCATATCGTGGGAAGAAGGAACAGATCGATCTTCCTCACAAGGGCCTTCTCTTCCGCCGCAAATGCAGCCTTCTCATCTTCGGTCTGAGGGATCTCCTGTTCAATCTGCTCGATGTCTTGCTTCTTCATATCGTCGACTGGGATACCGCCGATACTGTTCTCTCGGAAGTTGTTCATTGTAATGATATGTGATCGACACTCAGGAGAGGATCAGAGCCTCTTCAAGGAAGGATAAGTAAGACCTCGAGAGAGCAGATGGAAGCGGATTATTTCGTGACTTGAAGAGGAAATAAGAAATGGATGCAGGGAGTTTTATAGACACTCGCCTTCGCCTCCACCCCAGACAATCCCCAGATCTGCATTGTCTATTCAGTATTCCAGGCTTCTGAACCGAGCATGAGTCGCCCTGGTCGCATTCCGGGAGGCGCTGCGACAGGCGGCGCCACCGCTTAGCCAAGCTCCATTCAGAAAACCATTTACCTTGCCCTGCCCATGGATGTCCCCATGGAGCCCCGCTTGCTGCTCCATGCGGAGACGAGGTCACCGGCAAGTGGCAGACTGGGTCCGCCAACGAGGAACACCTACGGATGCCCGGGTTCTCCGGCATCAGCTCAAGGCCTGGGCAAGCCAGAGCCGATTTGCTGGAGCGAGTCCGACCCCAGAGTGCGTGCCAAGGGCCATGCAAAAAGCCGGTTGCCGCGTTGAAAGCTAGTTTTGGCCATGGAGCTGGATAGCCCCTAAGCACAATCCGTAAATCAAAGACACCTTAGGCAATGAATGCACTCGAAGAGCTAAGGTGCTGAGCACCTTTTGCCCTCTACTATGTGAGATTGGTCTAGCTGCTCCACAAATGACAATATCGTGAGTCCAGTCCGATCGTGAATCTAGTATTGAATAAGCTACAGCATAGATGCGGCAAAGCACTTTTAGTGGGGCTCTTGTGCCGTTTCGCACGGGGCGCAAGGCTGGCGGCGGAAAGACCGAAGGCGGCGGCGGAAACCCCAGAAATTGTTGCCGTGTCGGGGCGACATCCAGAAGCACCGGCGCCTCGCCTCGAGGTCTCCTCTTGCAGACGCACGCATCCAGCGCAATTCTCTTCTCCGCAGCACCAGAAGAAGCGCACTTCTTTCCTTGAAGCTGCTAAACACAGCCCGATCGGCCTTCTGAAATCCGGACATTGATTCCGAGCGTCATGATAGCGGGGATGTTGTCTACGAACGGCTCCGGTAGAGTGGTCCTTGTGGAGAAAGACCGGCATCAGGAAGAACTCCTGGTAAATGTTTTGGAGGTTATATATGCAGCTGTGGGCAGCGCTGGTCTTCAGTCTTCGTTGTTCCTCATAAGCTCTTCTGCTCCACTACTGATTCTCAATCACAGTCAGCGTCACCCCCGCAGCATCACTTACTCATAGAATCCCCCTTCATCCAAACTCGAGACCATCAACAGAAAGAACGCAATGACCATGAACGGCACAAACGGTGTAAACGGCTCTTCCCACGAAACGATGGCAGACGAGGCGATGCCCTTCCTCACGACCCAACCACCAGCGGACCAGAACTGGGCCATAACACTCAAAGATAAGGTCATAGCGATTACAGGCGCAAACCGAGGCATCGGCCTGGGCATAGCAGAAGTCTGTCTCGCCAACTCCGCCAAAATTGTCTACTCTCTGGATCTCATGGATCCTAGCGAAGACTTCTTCGCGCTACAAAAGAAGCACCCCAACTTCAAGTACATCCAGACGAACGTGACGGTCGAGTCCAGCGTCGAGTCCGCCATAAACAGCATCGTTGAGGCCGAAGGCGCAATCCACGGCATGGTCTGCAACGCCGGCATGACGAAGCACCAGCCCGCGCTGAACTTCTCCCGCGAAGAGGTCGAGAAACTCTTCAATCTCAACGTCTTCGGCGCCTTTTCCTGCGCCCAGATCGCGGCGCGGAAGTTCATCGAGCTCGGCGTCAAGGGCAGCATCGTCTTTACCGCGTCCATGACCTCGTACCGGCCCAATCGCGCAGCGCCGTCGGCACCGTATGGCGGCACTAAGGCTGCGGTCCGCAACATGACGCATACCCTTGCGATGGAGTGGGCGAAGCATGGGATTCGTGTCAACTCAATATCGCCTGGCTTCGTGAGGACGGCTATGACGTACTATGTAGAAAGGGCGCCAGACTGGGATCTGAAGATGGTAAGTGAACTAATCCCTGTCGTATGGGTACAGCTACTAACAAAACTCCCAGCAATACTACGGTGGTATGCCTCGTCTAGCAATGCCTCAGGAGCTCGGAGGCGCGTACGTTTACTTGTTGAGTGACACTGCGTCGTACACCACTGGCATAGATATTCCCATCGCTGGCATTGTTGGTGCTTGGTAAAAGTTTCACTTCGTCGAATGTGGCGTCTGTGCATTGTAAATACCTGGTCAATGGTTGATAGAGGCATCAGGCGTTCGATATGGCGTTGCAGGAAAACGTACTCCCAAGGTTCTATTATGTCTACTATGTTCAATAGCGTTTTGGTGACCCTCTCAGTTTAGGGCTACAATGACCAGTTCGAAATACGTGACATATGCGTTTCCCGCTGAACAAGTACGCCGTCCACCGGGTTGCACTGGAACAGCGACAGGTCCACTTTACGGTCAAGGGCCATCCGAAATGGCGGTTGCCGCATTGAGGGCTTCTCGTAGGCCTGGAGGTGGACAATCAGAAGGACAGTCCACAAATCAGAAACACCTTACGTGAACGATGCATTAAAGTGCTAAACTGCTGGACATCTTTTACTCTTTATCGCATAGAGTTAGTCTAGCTGCTCTACGCTCGACAGGATTATAAGTCCAGTTTAAACGTGAATCTAGTATTGAACGAACTGGAGCAAAAACACGGCAACGAACGTTTCGGGTGGCCCTTCGGTCTGCTAGCGCGAAGTCATCATCCGCCTAAACGCGCCGTTTCGGCCAGATGCCTAGCCCTTGGAGCTCCATGCTCGTCACAGGATGCAGATTTGAAGGAAATGACAACAAGAGATGCATCCAAGCATCAGCTGCGGGCCCTGTTCAGAATGACGAGGAAACAAAATGTATCTCGAATCCGCTTCATCCCCTCCTCCGTCACCCCATATTCAGGGAATGTGTAGCAAACGGCATCCGGTGTTAGGTCCAGAATCCGATACCGACCATCCTTGTTCAACATCCATTCCCGGCGGGCACGCGCGGCCCATTCTACGTACGCCCAAGTCTTTTGAAAAGGCACATCGCCTCTGTACATCAGATATTCCTTTCGAATTTCCTGGAGTTCGGAAATGGAAGGGGCGGTGCCGAATCTCTTCGCAAGCGCCGTCTGGAGGATAACATGCTCAGCCTTGGTCACACGGAGGGATCGGTCTAGGGAGAGGTATCGGCTGAGTATGACTGATAGATCGTGCGGATCCTTGCCTGCGACTGCCTTTCTCGTTGCATGGTCCCGAAATCCAGGAATCTAGCTTAATCAGCATGTGGTCCATAACGACACTAGGACATAATGTATATACCTTGTATGCATCCTTGGGCGGCTTTGCTTGAACCGCTGATACCGTCGGTTGAGTAGGTATCGTCGATGGAGCAACTATAGATGGCTGTCTTCCGTTCTTCTGCACGTAGCTGTTGATGGTCGATCGCTTGTTTGCTCGCTCTCTGAGTTCTTCGTGATCGTCGTCACCATCGTCAGGATTTGAAGCAGCTACCTGTGAGCACGGTGTCAGTCACACGAATATCATCAGGATGAGAGCAAGCACGCCGTAACACAGTCAATGGCTTCAATATGTTCGCGTCATCGTCCTTGCGTCGCAACGGGGCCTCCAATTCATCCCAGTTGAAGCTGGTGGGTTTAGGCTTCCTCTTCTTCTCATGTGGTTGCATGGCCTCACACACTGTTAGCATGCGGAATATACATGGTGTGTGGTACATGTAGTCACTTTAGCGGTATCATCAGCTGAGCGTTTGTTGGCAGACGTCGACATGGCGATGACTACGATGGTGACTTGTTGCTTCTAGATAAGGTGTTCAAATCTTGTTGTTGAATGTTCTAAGAGGGAAATGAAGAGAAGTTTCAGCATTTTAATGGTAACCGGGACCGCATTCACCAACACAGAGCCCCACGTGCGTGATATGTGCACGTCTTGCGGATCAAGTGCGCTATTCGCCAATCATACAACAGGTCTACATACGGCCTGCTGGCTTCAATTCATCGGCCGCTCAAACGTGCCGTTTCAGCCAGATTCCTGGCCCTAGGAGCTCCATGCTCATCGCCTTTCTTCTTCTCGTTGGCCAACAGAGACATCGCATACGGGGCAATCCAGACGTCCGGGCCTTTCTCTTCTGTGCTAGTGCGATGCCTTGCGATTAAAGACCGTATTTGTTTGACCACACCAAGGTTCGATGAAACAGTGGTGTTCCTGTTTGCCCAGCCGTAGAAGAATACAGACTTGTTGATATCGGTGAGCTCTGGTGCAACGGCATCGACGACCGGTGGCAATGCTAGATCATTGAAGTCAACGTCAACCACCTTGATCGGCAGCTGTAGTCCAGCGGGGACTGGATGGATCGAAAGGGCCTGGAATTCCTTGCGCAGGGCCTCGGCCGATTTGGTGGCATCTTCACCCACAACGATTGCCATTCTCGCCCTCTCAGAATCAGTGCCGATTTTCTGTGTGAGTCTGCGCATGTGCTCAGCAGCCTTGGCAGTGCATACAAGCGGATGCCCCTCCAGAGCCGGATACACGAAGGTAGAGAGAAATGGCTCCTTCTCTTCCGCCTTGATCTGATCCAAGATCTGCCGATGACGTCGTAGTTCCTGTGGAATCTTGACATGGCATATGTCCGAAGCTAGCGCGATAAGGATGGTACAGTCGATATTCAACACGTGGGAGAAGTCCTCGAACTCGTCGATCATAAGATTTTGCAGAACATCGTCGAGAGCAGGCGGATCCTCGAGCTCGTCCGCACACTGCACGATAGCACCTGTCGCCCGGATCCTGTCGAGCACAGCATCTGTCTCAGCGCTCATGCCCGTCTCGAGACGGGTAAAGATGAAACGGATACGGGGGACGATCAGCTCTGCCTTCGCAGCATTTGCTAGGTCTTCAGCAGTGCGTATCAGCAGAATCTCGTCAGCGTCACTTCCATCGCTGAGGTTATGCTGGTCCTCTCCTTCATCGTTCTCGTCTGAAGAGTACCCGTTTTGCCAGCCCTGCTTCGCTAAGTCGAACAGTACTCGCTTCTGAGTAGTCGTGCTAACTTTGATCCATTCGGAGCCTCTTTTGGTAACGACATCCACGAGTACAGCCGATCGGTCGCCTTTCTTGACTTTTGCTTTCGAGGACTGCATAGGTGCCCCGTAGAACCATCTTCTCAGTCCGAGAAGGCCAGAAGATTGCTTCGCGGCAGCCCAAACCGCTTCGTAGAACTTGAGGTTGGAGCTGTCAAGCCTGTTCTGAACGTTCTCTCCGGCTGCCTCGAGCCTGTGTAGCTTCTCTAAAGCCACGAACTCAGTCTGGATCTCGTTTCGGAACGTCCTGTACGGAAGCGTGCGCTGTCCCTTACTTTCCAAGAACTGAAAGAATCGGTCAAGCTCATCTAGGATAGCCTTACACCGGTCTGTATGTTCCTGAACTCGTAGGATAGTCGGTGCAGCACCGTGAGCACCTCGATTGCGTGCTACAAGTGGCTGTTCATCCAAGTGTATTCTCTGCACCTGAGTTTCGACTGCCATTTTGACTGATTCGTGGAAAGATACTCCAAATCGATGGAAGGCCTTGGCTAACAAACGCTGGAAGCCGAAGAGTGCGCAGAAGAGTATTTTTCTGAATTGAGGTATGGCCCGAACTTTCTCTCTCTATACAGGTTTCTCGAACTTGCAAGAGATGCTCAGCCTGAAACAGACCGAGTTGAACTACGGATCCCAAGTGGACAAGAAGAGCAGTACAGATTCTCGATATCTATAGCAGAAATGGGCCAAACTAGGCAGAATTTACTCAGGCGGACTCTTGTATGACTGGTCGTGCTTTTGCCCCGAGTGTACTCGAGCAAGTGGGTTTGTGATAGTCAGCCTTCGCAGGGAGATGATCTTGCCTTGAGACAACCTCAAACTCTCAAGCTATGGAAATCCGACTCCCTATAATGCTTGCAGAATTTATCCTCGGCCTCAGACCTCCGAGTTGAGGGATGCAATGATCTTCTGAGGTCAAATGTGCTCGTCTACTCTTACGTACCTGGCCCAAGCGCCTCGCGAAAAACTGCCCTCCACCTCGGACCCCTCGTTGGGCTATCACCACGGCCTCTCAAACCTTCAAACCTCCAAACCTCCAAACCTCTGATCCCTCCACATTTCACACAGTGAAAATGCCCTACTTCACCACCAGCCAAGAATGGTTCCACCAATCCTCCCTCCTCCTCCAAGCGCGCCCTACCACCGTCCGTCTCCCCTTACCCCTTCTCTCCGCAACCCCGCTAACCCCTCCCACAGACACGCATAACCTCCAAATACACCATCTCCTCCTCGACCTCCTCTGCTACAGCCCGCCGGAAACGCAAAGCCCAAGCCCGAGCTTCAGACACGACCGCCGACGCCAATACCTCCGACACTACAATCTCCACAACCCCAGCGCCGTCCTCACAACCCGCTGGTCCCAAAGCGACACTCACGCTAAAGACATTCGACCCCGAGTCCGGCGTCTGCCTGAAATACCAGACCACAAAAGCGGCTGAGGTAGGGCGGTTGATTGCGAGTCTGGGGAAACTGGGGCGGGGGATGGCTGGGTTGGCGGAGCTTGCTGAGGGTATGTCCCCCTCTCTATGTTACAGTAGTTTCTAGTGGGGCCGAGGCTACAGACACAGGCCCGAGGTAGAGGGACAGATTTGGCTGAAGAGAGGTGTATAGATGCCACAATGGTGGATGCACCGCCCACGGAACAGGGACCAGGCCTGAGCACACCTGTATCGGATGCGGCAGGTAAGGAGGCGAAACCTGGGGCGTCGGAGACGAAGGCCGCGCCCCAGGCAGGGGGAGGTGGAGGGAAGAAGAGAAAGAAGGGGAAGAAATGAAGAGGAGGGAAGGGTCACGTGCTCAGACGTTGAGTCCTTGGACCTTTTCTGGCTGTTGAGGGTCTGGTCGGCCGCTCCGTCGGAATGGCTGTCGATATTGAGAGCAGCAGGCCGAAAGACGGACGGCTTAGGAACTGTTCTGCGCTGGGCGACAGTACACTAGGGTAGTTCGGAGCGAGCTGGATGTGGTTGGGCACAGCCAGTTTGAAACCGGCAGCTGCTCGCCAGTGGTCCTTATATGGAGAGCAGAGGGATCTCCAGGGCCAACTATTTTCTCTAGTAGACCAAGCGAAGCAAGCTAAGAAGTGCGATATACAATCATCAATGGGCATGACATCTACCGGCAGCCATTCCATCAATATCTACAGTGGCGCGGCAACCTTCACGAATACTAAACCCTCAGCTCGTATCATTTCCGAACAACGTCAAAATGCGGAATCCAACACACCCTACTCCTCCCCCTCCTTATCCCCCTCCTTCCCAATCCTCTCAAAATACTCCTCCGCCCTCGCCCTAACCCTCTCAACCGCCTTCTTATCCCCACCCGCCTCCTCCCACTCCTGCCACTTCCTAAATACAAACGCCGCCCTCCTTCTCTTCATCTTCAGCGCGCTCATCCTCTCGAACAAACGCCTCACATTCTCCTTCTCTCCATGCGTCTTCTCCAAATCGACCAACATATCCCACAGATCCCAGCGCTTCGGGTACGCAGACAGCAAGCCCTCGAAGATGGTGCGGCCGCGCTCGGCGTCGCCGTTCGGTGACTGAAACTCCAGCGCGCCGAATTTGGCGGTTAGCTGGCGGTGCTGGATGCTGGGGACGGACTGCATGGCGCGGGCGAGGAGGGAGCGGGATCGGGCGGGGTCGTTGAGGGTGGTCATGAGGAAAGTGGCGTAGTTTAGCCAGAAGGAGGGGGAGGAGGTTATGGCTTTATTTTTGGTCATTGCTTGGAAGAGATTGTCTGCTTTCTGTGGGGAACTGTCAGCCGGGCTGGCTTTGGGATGTAGGAGATAGACCTGGTAAAAGGGGGAATAAGCTACTTACATCGTGCTTGCCAGAGTCAATATAGATGCTCGCGAGGCGCTCGTGAATCTCTTGCACGTCGTTGTACTGGCACGCGCGCTTGAAAACTTCCTCGACCGTCTCGTCGCTGCCGTATGTGTTTTCCAGGTTGAGCAGCGCGATCCAGACGTTCATCTTCTCCTCGTCTTCGCGGATGTTAATGGTTCGAAGCGCCCTCTCTGCAATGTCTCGCGCTTTGCCGACCTCGCTGAGCTGCAGCTGGAAGGCCATGTACTGGATCCACAGACTCGACGAGTTTGGTTGGCCGAGCAGCTGGCGCTCGAAATCTGCGACGGACTGAGGGCCGTACTTGTCTAGATCGCCGGTCTTATCCACCTTGATTTCTGGCTTGCGGCGCTTCTTCTTCTTGCCCGTGTCCTCCTCGGTATCGGAGTGTTGTTGAGCGTCATCCTGATCTTGTCCCAGGCTAGTGCCGGTCCAGTCGAAGCCGGATGTGCTTAGACCGTTAACCTTTTTCGCAGCGACCGGTTCGTCGACGTCCATTTCATCAGCGGAGTTTTCCTCGTCTGTCCCAGCGCTGTCGATACCCTTTACATCTGCAAGATCGACACCCCCGTGCTCCAACTCCTCATCATCTTCGCTGGCTCCGTCGACCAAATCAACGCCTCCATCAACTCCATCTTCAGCGTCGCTCATATCCTCATCGGCAGCGTCCTGGAAGTACGACGCCTTGAGCCCGAAGTTGACCCTCCGCTTCTCCGCATCGATCTTCAGCACCACAGCCTTGACAGCGTCGCCCTCGTTGTACAACTTCTTGACATTCTCCACCTTCCCGTCGGCGATTTCGCTGCGATGGCACAAGCCGCTCAGATTAGCCGAATTGTCGACCACGATGAACACACCGAAATCCTCGACCTTCCGGACCTTGCCCGTGACGATCTGTCCGACTTCGAGATTGTCATAGGACAGTGGGGCCACGTAGTCCTTGTCTAGAATGGATGCCTTCAAGCTTAACTGCACGTGATTGATTTCTGGATCAACAGCAACCACCTTACCGGTGACCAGCTGGTCAATCTCAAACGCCGACCGCCAGTCCTTGATGAACGCGTCCGAGAGGTCCGATATGCGTACAAATGCCGTGATTTTCGGCGACAGGCTAACGAAAAGGCCCTTCTCCGCGACGTTCTTGACGAAGCCGCGCACGACATCGTTGACCTTCAGCTGGCTGACGCTTGCGACATGGGGATCCTTGACCGGAAGAGACGAGCTCAGGACCTGGGATGGCCGGGTGGAGAGGACGACTCTCTTATTCGGCGCATCGACGTCCAAGACACAGACACGAACGACGTCGTTCTTCTGATGCACGGTCGGATTCGCTTGAGCATAGTCGTCCGCAAGCTCGGTCAGGGTTACGGGGCCTGAGATTGTGTCGCTGAGCTGGACCATGATGTGCCGTTCGGTAACCTTAGTTACACGCGCTGGCAGTACCATGCCTTTGCTCAGGTTTTGCAGTGTTACGGGTAGAGAAGAGGAAGACGAAGTAGCGGAGAGATCCAGACGGTTCTTGCTAGCGTCGACAGCTTTGACGCGGACACGCACAGCGGAGCCAACCGGGAAATTTTGCTCGAGGTTGTTCAGAAGCGAGACGTCCTCCGCGAGATCCATAAGGCCGATGCGACCGCGGACATTCGGCGTGATGTTGACCCAGACACAGTCGTCGCTGATGTTGTTGACGAAAGCGATGTAAGATGATCCCACTTGCACCTTGTCCAGTGTGAGCAGGTCCGCCTCAGAAGAAAGCTGGCTCTTCATCTTAGCCGTGAGTTCGAACACAGGTATCTTGCCCGTGCGATGTGTGATCGGGAGGAAGCGGTGGTTGCGCGCATCATGTATGCCGAGCACCTTTACCGGGATCTTGTGCTTTGCCTTGAACTGCTTCAGTGGCTGCTTCCTATCTTTGATGTCTTCCCACTCCTCAAACACCTCGGAGACATCTACTCTGCCCTGTATGTTGTCCGCCAGCTGTACGTTGAGCTGTGTAGATTTGACCGCCGTGATCAACGCCATGGTGGGTTTGCCCAGAGTGAAGTCCGCAATGGTCTGGGATTCGCCATCAACCGGGTTGGCGAGCGTGTCGTCCACGCCTGCCGGTGGCTGTGTTGGCGGCTTTTCAACCTGCTCCTTTAGCGGTCGTAGTGTGAGTAGAAATCGCTCATTGCTGTGGTCGACAGTAAGAACAGTCACAGATATCGACTGATCCCTCCGTAGGCCGAAGCCCGGTAAATCTTGCGCCTCCTTTGTCATCTGAGACTTGAATAGAAGTCCTACAAGGCCGCCTCCGAACTGCACAAAGACTCTCTCATCGGTCACGTTCCGCACAAATCCATTGAGCTTCTGGCCTTCACTGACGTCTGCGAAAGCAGCAATAAGAGTGCCTGCTTTGGCCGCCTCCAGAAGATTGGGCTTGTTGGAAAGTACGACTGGGATCTTCTTGTCGAGCTTCTCTATCACAACGAGGTCTTGCAAGGTCTGTCCGACCCGGAGCCGCTTCATCGACGAGTAGTTCTTTTGATCAGATCCGTCTGTCAGGTGTCCCAACCGTAGAAGTCCTTTTAGGCCCGAATCCGCAAGCTCAACCGTAACGCTTTCGGCAGACTTTTCTAAGAGCGTTCCGTTTACTACTGCACCGATTTGCACTCCTCTGAGAGCCTCCTGGTTGATTTTTCCGGAGGTGAAGGGATCTTTGCATGTGACGGTCATTCTTCCGTTGGCAGCGTCAACGGACATTGCGTACACGCTCACTACTTGGCCGATCCGGAAGTGCTGGGAAGGGTCTTGGATATACGCTTCGCTCATCTCTGATACCGGCAGAAAGGCGCGCACTGAGCCATAGAACTGGACCACGGCGCCTGCACGGTCTATCTTGATTAAGGTGCCCAGGGACTGTGAGCCAGGCGATATGCGAGCGTAATCGAACCAGATGTCTGTCTCGGAGTTGACTAAGGACTTCTTCAGCGTGAGGCGGATCTGCCGCTTCTCGAGATCTGTTGAAAGAACTCTTGCAGTAACAGCCGTGCCTTCTCGGAACTTCTTCTCGGGATGTTGCAAGTGAACGTCCGCCATGTGCATCTCGGGCACAAGCCCGGTGATGCCCTCGGCAAGGCTTACGATAACACCGGGAGCGCCTTTGGCGGTGATCAGAAGTCTTTCTACCTTGCCCTTGACCACTTGGCCAACCTGGACGTCTTCAATGCGGAGGAACGATTGTTCAAGTATACGCGGCTCGAGAGAAACAAGGTAAACCCCATCTACAGGGTTGTAGCCGATTACACGAGCTCTGTGCGTTGAGCCTACTTTGTAAGCGCCCGTTGTTTCTGTCAGGGTATCGACCTTGCTGTCGCTCAGTCTGGAGATGTGTGCAAAGCCTAGGACACCCTTGACACCGACATCCATATACAGGCCAGTACGAGCCAGTACTTTTACCACTTTTGCTTCCTCAACATAAGAGGATACCGGATGCACTTGCAGTGGGTCTTTCGGGCCCTTTGCGTCTAGGCATTTGCGAGGCGATAGTGACAGGACGTGATCTAGAAGAGAAACTCCTACTCTCCGAGGCTCGGCTGTAGGAAAGGTGGAGATAACTCGAGCTTTGATCTTGGATCCTATCTTGTACTTGTTGCTTATATCCGTTTGGCTCTCGCCTGCACCCGAATGCACAAGGTCTGCAGTCGCGTCGAGCATGCCCATAATCTGACCTGCCACATCGGTAGAAGAGACATCAGTGACTAGCACCTCGACAGCAGTTCCTGGCAGGAACACGTTGACTGTGGGTGCTTCCGATAGGAAGTGCGATTTCTTGATGTTTCCAGCCTTCTGATGGTCTGCTGATAGCTTGACAATCTTTCCGTTCGAACTAAGTCCCGTGACTATGCAAAGGAACACAGCGCCTTCTTCGATTTTGCTATGGTCAACACCGTGGCCGACCTCTTTCGAGGACATGAAGCCTCTGACCGAGCCGTCCTCAAGACCTAGGTCCATCACGAGACCGTGGTCCTCCACGCTTACCACAGAGGCCTGGATCATGCTGTTGATCACGAGATCAGATTTTGTAAGACCACTGTTGGCCTGTCTCGGATTGATCGAAAGCTCTATATGCCTTTTACTCCTGCTAGGACCCTTCGAGGCAGATTCTTCTGTTGTCGATGTGATATACGCACGCAAATATTGGCCGACCGAGAAGAACTTGCTCAATACGATGTCTTCATCCTCTTGCGCTTCATCGGCTTCTGTATTGCTTTCATCCTCTTGGAGTAGTTTTTCTATCCGTTGGGTAAGCTGGTCAGAGACAGCGGTGAGAGGTATGAAGCCCGTGAGGTTGTTGGGCAGCGCGAGCACTACGTCCCGCGAAGTCACCTGCGTGACCTGTCCCAAAACCATAGTTCCGGGTACAATCCTCTTGTAGCTGAGTCCCTCGGTTTTCATGCGCGGCTCTTCTTTCGGCACAGCAGCGGTCTTTTTGTGATCCTTTCCCTTCCTCCTTTTCTGCTTCTTCGCCATGCCTTCTGCAGCCTCATCAATATCCATGTTCTCATCTCCGCTCTCAGCGTCTGCATCTCGCCGCTTCTGTCCAGACTGCTCGAACAAGACATCCTGCGTCGCCTGGATCTGGATCTGCTTGTGCTCGAGGGGTGTCAAGACACTCGCCCCACCCCTAGGGAACGCTTTTTCGCCTTGCTGAAGGATCGATGACTTCGTGGACGGTGTCTTATCGGTTTGCGCCGCCGGCTTTGAAGGCTTGACCTTGGTTTCGTTTGTAGACGGTTCGGACTTTCGCTGTCGTTTTGCGGCGCGGTCGTCTGCAGAGTGCTTCGGCTTGCTGGTCCCTCCACTTCCCCCATCTGCGCTCCTCTTCATTGGCGCCATTCCCTCGGTGGTGTTTGGAGTTGATCGTATGATGTGGGGAAAGCTGTGGTACTTGCACAACTGATGTTTGGCGCAAAGATATATTTTTATGACGAACACACCTCAAACTGTCCTGCGGCTTGTTGTCGAGTTCATCGACATTTCAAAAGGAACATCACAGCAAAGTGTTCGATATTGATCTCTCTGCAGGCCTCTTGCGGGACCTGGCAAAAAAAGTTGCAGAGGCGGCGTTCCCCGCGCGGTTTCTTCGGAAGTTCTGGCGCGCGTCCGGCCCAAGCTCCCGTGCCTTTTCGCGTCGAACGCCAACCTCAAGCTTAAAGTTCCCACGTCCCCCAGTACTATGCCCTACATATATCCCCAGCCTCCAATGCGCATCCTTTCTTAAGCTCGAGTATAGCCCGCATCCTCTTCTGCTGCAGCAATGGCAGACCAAATTCACATCTTCTCCTCGCAGGAACTCCCTTCCCAACACGCACCGTCAGAGCCATTTGCGTCATCGCCGCTTGCACCTTCGTCAAGTACAGGTAGCAGGAAGCCTAAGAAACCACCACCTATTACCCCCAAACGCTTTACCCGCTTCTTCACGCCGCGCACATCCTCGAGTACGAGAGGAGGAGGGGCTTCTACCGGCAAATCAGGGAGGCAATTGCGCGATATCACCCGCAATGGGCGGAATGGCAGCGCACCATCCAAGTTGGGGACCCCGAGGAAGACTGTATCCTTCGCGGATATAACATCTGAGGACCAGGAGAACATCAGCACACCTAGGCTTGGATCGAAGCGGAAATACAATGGGCTCTTACCTTCTCCCGCGAGCTCGCCGATGCAGCCTTCACCGTCTAAACGAGGACGGTCGGTTAGCCCCTCGATCGCTCAAGTACCCGCAATCGAGGACGATGAAGATGGATTGTCTGTTCGAGGCTCGAGTCCTGTGGAGGCACCGTCTGAGCCTGCACGTATACGTCGAATAAAAGCCACCGGCACCGCTGCACGGATTCTGCAGCGCTCATTCGGCGGGCTGTCTGTTAGGGATAGGGGGAGACGTAATGATCATTGCGCCGGTCAGTATACATCGCTGCTCACCGCAAATTGCTGCTGACCCCTGCAGACTGGCACGACCAAACGTCCGATTTCTACAGCATGCCGGAAGACTGCCATCAGTTTGCAAGCCCATCATTGCCGTTCTGTACGGCTAGTTGCAACAGTACGTTTACCATTTTAGACCGTTCTCTGTTAAAAACATTCGACTGACATGGCCGCTCCAGCGAATACACTAGTCGCCATCGGGGATGAAGACGGGAGTATAACGCTTCTCGAATCCGCCAAAGACGGCAAGCCACCGTTCACGCAGGCGCATATATCATTCCGTACCCACAGCAATGCCGTCATGGACCTAGCTTTCTCATCGGATGACCTACTTCTGGCAACAGCATCCGGAGACCAAACGGCTCACGTGATCGATATGCAAACCCAGCGGACGAAATACGTAATGGCTGGCCACGTGTCTTCCGTGAAGCAGGTGTGCTTCCAGCCGGACAACGACAATGTTATCGCGACATCAAGCCGGGACGGTACTGTACAGTTGTGGGACCTGAGGTGTAAAGGGTCGGAGGGCGCAATCCAAGATCTTCGCATTCCCCTAGAGCCTGGCCTCAGCAGCCGCGTAAATGATCAGCACAAAGTAACTTACGCGACCGTCTACAATTCCATTGCCGGTGCGCACACGGACCGCCAACCACTAGGAGCCTTGCAGAACATCGCAAATGCGGCCAGTGGGAGAGACGCGTTACTGAGGGGTGAGAATCCCTCGAGACGTGGCGACGTGTCCATCACGGCCTTATCTTTCCTACCGGCAAGCCGCTCGCATCTCTTACTCACCGCCTCCGAAGCCTCCACCTGTGTCAAGCTCTGGGACATCCGTAGCCGTCCCTCACGCCGGGGCCCTGCCATCGCAGTAGCATCGACCAAGCAGCCGGACTCGCACAGCCGGCACCGCCACTTCGGCATCAACTCCATCGCGCTGAGCGGCGATGGCGCGCGGCTCTATGCGCTCAGCAGGGACAGCACGGTCTACGCGTACTCGACGAACCACCTGATTCTGGGCACGGCGCCCGAGTTCTCGGCATTGTCCAGTCGGCACCGCTACGGCAGCGAGAGCAAAGAGGGCCTGGGCCCGCTGTACGGCTTCAGACACCCGAAGTTCCACGCGACTTCTTTCTACGTCAAGACGTCTTTGCGGAAGGCAGTAGGCGACAGACCCGAGATGCTCGCTGTGGGGAGCAGTGATGGGTGTCCCGTGCTCTTCCCGACGGATGAGACGTTCCTCAAGCTTGCTCGCAGCGACCCCCACAACGACTCCGAGGACACCACACCGGCATCTACACCACCACCCCGACGTCCCGTCCCCCGGAGATCCACGAGCGGCGTCGCCTCAGCACGTATTAACGACACCATCCCCGTCTACGAGAACGGTACGGCGCTTGTGCGTGGGCACTCAAGAGAGGTGACCGGCTCGACGTGGACATCTGAGGGGGATCTCATTACTATCAGCGACGACTTCTCGGCGAGGTGTTGGAGGGAGGGGGCCCAGGCTAGGGAGCTGAGGCTTGGTGGGGAGGCCGAGGGGAGAAGGTGGGCGGCTGGGTGGGCGGAGGTTGGTGGGGAGTTAGATGAGGAGGAGTGATTGTGTTTTGTGTTGCGCGATACCCCTAAGGCGCTCTTGAATTGCTGAGTATTGGTCGCCGGTGTTCGATGCGGGTTTACCGTCGCTGGGAGAGTTTTGGATACGGAGGATGGCTAGCGATGGCTAAGAGTTATGAGCGGGTCAAGTAGAGTAACTGTAAACGTCTACCGAGCTCATCGCTAGTGACAATGGAACTAATTCATCCACTATTCTGCGCCTTGAAAAACTCCCCACTTACGAGTGCTACTTAGCGCTGGCGTTCCGGAAGCGGCCAGACCGATCTATCCATGGTTTTCCGTTTGGATGAGACACCGCAGAACAGCGGCTTAGGAACATCTACTTGAGTGTCGTAAGTGCCAGATCAGGAAAAACACACAGATTACGTGTGCCAGCGATGTACTTTCAATGCTCCCGTCCAAAGAGATCTTGGGATAGTCAGCGTTGATGCACGAACGTTACCAATAACCTGGACATAAGGGGCATCAGACGACCTCCCACAGCACTCCTCAAAATTATTCTCATTCGCTCCTATTACCCACTGTCGTACGGACCACTAGGTGCACTCATGAGGCGAGCACAGCTTGTCTGCATCCGCAGTTTGAATAGAAGTTGGACTCCTGGGCATCAGCTGTGGCGCTCGTCCCGATCATTAGACTTCAGCTCCAGCTTCACCTTCAGGCTTGAAACATTCGCGACAGAGTCCAAATTTCCCCACGTCTCACATCTTGAGTTACTTTCCGAGTGAAGTTTCCAGTAGTCTACGCAGGTCCTCGCCTTCCAGTGTCAAATGCCGTCCTACAGAGCCCGGACAGCCGCTTACGGTTCAGCATCCAAGCCGTATCATTTCTCCGCCTTGAAGCGCCTAGCAGGCCTGGTTCCAGCTCCAGAAACGACGGCGACTTTCCAGTATCGGCCGCTCGAGCCTGATCGACGAGAAATCCGCGTTCTCGAGCTCCTACCGCGCACGCTACGAGCAGGCAAGGAGAAACAACTCATAACTTGCACCATCAGACACGTATCGCTCGACGATCAGCCTGTATACCTTGGCCTGTCCTACACGTGGGGCGATGCGACAGTCAAACGGCCGATACTGTTGGAAGGCCGGATCTTCTACGTGACGGAGAATTTGCTCAGCGCTCTGGAGCATCTGCAGCGGCAGTGGCACTCTCTTGCACTTTGGATCGACGCGGTTTGTATCAACCAGAACGACAATGTCGAGAAAAGCAGTCAAGTAGGGCAGATGGGAAACATCTACCGCGAAGCCGCTCTGGTATTAGCCTGGTTGGGTCCAGCTGCTGGCGACAGCGATTTGGCTATCGAGAGTCTGGATTACGTTGGTCGGAAATTGTTTGAGATGCCGGATGGTCCATGCCTGCAAGAGCGTTACGAGCTCTTCTCCAAGCTCTTTTCTCCAGAGACTACCCCTCAGTTTCCCGTGGATGTCGTGTGCTCCTTGTTTCGCCGTGCCTGGTGGGACAGAGTGTGGGTCGTGCAAGAAGTAACTCTTGCCAACGACGTACTTGTTGTCTGCGGCAATGCGGATATACCATTTCATTTTCTGCATCTTGCTTTCAGCGCGCTCTACGAACTGCCATTGCTCAGCGCAGCTCTTAATGGCGCATTAGATGAGGCTTTCAGTCGGGTGTCCCCGCAGTTGCAGACTTGCCATCCACGAGTACTCGAAGCAGCTATTCTAGGCCATAATCAGGACGCTGCACCCCTCAAGAGTCGAGTCCTCACTATCACTGGACTGAAAGCAACGGACCCGAGAGATCATGTCCTAGGATTACTAGGAATGGCGAGTGATACTGAAGAGCTAAACATACACGCAGACTATTCAAAATCATGTCAGGTTATATATACAGATGTAGCCAGAGGGTTTCTCGAAGCTCAGGAGGATCTGCAAATACTGTCCAGGTGCAAGTTTCCGAAGCAACAGAGCAATCTTCCATCCTGGGTGCCGGACTGGTCCATGAGATGTGGGCACACATTTTGGGATCCGAAGCATTCTCTTTACAACGCTTCTGGGCAATCTCTGGCCCCACGCAAGATAGCTGTTGGCGGGAACACCCTTAGACTAGCGGGGGCGCGGTGCGGCACAGTGTCAAGAGTTGGGAGAGTGTGGAGTATCGATTACAGTAGTGCAGGAGCCGAGGCCCTCACGCACTGCTTTGCAGAGATTGAAGACTTCGTCCATAGTGATGGATTCGCATACCCTAGCGAGCACGACAAGCAAGAGGCAGTATGGCGCACCCCTATCGCGGATGCGGAATACGCGATATTCGGAGAAGAAGGCCGATACAATCGTAGAGCGACACCGGAATTACTCAATGCTTTCGTTGCCTATCAAGGCGCTGTAGACGCATCTCCTCTTGAGGGAACGCCTAATCCTAGCGCGATTATGGGAGCCAATCCATGTATCAGGTTTATACCTACAATCCTGGATGGTAGAAGGGTTTTTACGACTTCCCAGGGGCACATAGGTGTTGGGCCCAAACACCTGCAAGCGCAAGACCTCATCTGCGTGTTCCAAGGCGCGGCCGTTCCGTTCATCCTTCGCGAAGGTCCATTCCGACAATACCAGCTTGTGGGCGAGTGCTACATTCATGGTATAATGGATGGCGAGTTTATGAACCGAGATCCGCCAATCGAGGAATTCGTGGTGTGTTGAGTCTGGGGTGGAATCAGATGGCGGAGAGCACGGAGTGGGACGAACAGGCAGTAGATCCCCCTACGTTTCCCTATTACCGCTTGCGCAGACATTTTGTAGCTGAATATCCCCTTTAGAGGTTGTGTTTTCCTCCTTGTAAAAGCTAGGGGACAAACGACGCTGCCGGCTGAGATCTTAGCCCTGGCGGACAGGACGTGTGCGAAGGCCCTCGGGCGGTTGCAGAAGCCGGTGAGAGAGTGGATGTCATCGCCCTCGTCTACCCCACGCAAGAGTTAAGTGCGAGAGTCTTCCTGGGTGCACCCCTCAAGGAATCGAGAGGCTTAGAGGGCCAGGAGGTGGGTGAGCTTTGATACAAGCACGCGGTCGCCGAGTTTAGTATCAGGTATCCCTAATAGAAGCGGTTTAACCGTACAATTGACATGTAAAACTGAGCTGAGAAGATTTCTCTTTCAGAGGAACAACAGGAGCGGAGTGGCACCGAGACCGGCAGATAATGCTGGTTATGCATAGGGGCATCAAATAGCCTCCCCTCATTACTTCTCAACCATGTCACCATACACGTTCTACAGTGCTCGAAGACAAGCCGAAGCAAACATGCTCCTGGTCAGACAAACTCCCGTATCATATGACGACACCCTTGCCAACCACCCGGTCATCATTATCCACCTCGCCCTCCAGCACGTCAACTACCCGTGGTACAGGTTTATGTATTCTCACGCACCAGAGGAACCAGTCCTCAAGCGGCAGCAGGTTCAGCAGCACGCGGTTCCCCGCCCACGCAAGTCCGCACACAGCCGCGCCCGCCACTGCGTCGAGGATGAAGTGGTTCGCAGTTGCCAGAATTGCAACCAGAATTGTTAGAGGGTACGCGATGCCCACAACCACCAGGAGCACGCGCTTGGGCGACGGCAGTTTCATCCTCACGCGTCCAAACAGCAGCGCCCGACTCCTCCGCTGTCGCGGCGGCAGCGGGATCGACATAATCGTGAGGCCGATCAGGAGCGAGTATCCGAAGTGCAGACTCGGCATCGCAGCGTACTGATTACAAAACTTATTCTGCGTCCAGACGCTACCCTCGCCGCCAGCGCCATGCACCGTATCCACGAAGCCGTAGCTCCTGCCCTCGTCAGCGCTGCGGCCCTCCGCGTCCTTGTCGCTTAGCAGCCGCGGCGGCATGCAAGGCCATGCCGTGAAGACGACGAAGGCGAGGAGGTTGCAGACGGCCATTGTGCGACGGCGGGCTTCATAGAGACGGGGACCGGCGGGCGAGCCATCGACTTCGCTGGCAAGCGCGCCGGGGCGAGAAGGGTGGAGGCGGTTGCGGGTTGTGGTGTGGTAGTAGAGCCAGACGAGGAAGAGGATGGTGCCAGGGATGTGGATGAAGGAGTAGATGCGGTTGATCCAGGTCAGGAGGGTGGGATGTGCGAGGAAGAAGCGCTGGATTGGGAGCTCGTAAAAGAGATGTAGCGATTGCTCGAGGTGAATGAGTTGGAGGGCGTGTTGGCGGGCGACTTCGACGGTGCCTTCCACTAGAGTGACGGCTGTGAAGGCGCGACCGAGCTGGTAAACCTGCGAGGAGGTTGTCGTGATTAGCTTAGCTTGGGGCATGGAATAATAGTAGCGTTAAAGGAAGGTGTGGACCAGCTTACCCAGTAGATCAACGCCCAGTACCAGGCCTCCACCAAGAACGGAAACCTCTGCAGGAGCCTGCTCAAGAGTCTATCTTGAAAGATCTTGGTGTTTGGTGTGTTGACAACCTTCCTGAAACCTAACAGCCGTATCTCGCGCTTACGCCACTTAGGCTCTTGTCCTGCTAGCAACGACGGGGAACTTGCGCCCGAAGATGAGCTACCGAGGAGGCTATCTTCATCTCCAGGGCTTGAGAGACCAGATTCTATGCTGTCGAGGGAGCTGGATCGCTCATGCGGAGTGTGCTCGCGCCGGCTGCGGTGCTGTGAGGATATGCGATAGGCCGGATTGCGGTTGACCCATGTTCCGCCCAAGAGAAGACTGACCACGACGAGTGGCTCTATGAAGGCACCCGCCCCCATCTCTGCAGGGTACGTAGCAAGCCTTGTGGCGGAAACACAGAGAAGCAGGTAGCTTTAACCAACTTGGATGTTGGAGCTAGTTGACAGATCGCTGCCTATAGTGTAGAGAGAGAGCAGTGGCCAGTCTAGTTGCGCGATGCTCGCCCGACAAGGCCGCAGTGGTAACTAGACTGTCGCGTTTGTTCGACGGGGCACACGATGGACAGTGGGTCGCCAGCAGAGGCTGGTGATTAATACTCAAGTGGAAGGAAGGAATTTGCTTCGAGGAAGAAATGAAGCAGCAAAGAGAACAGAGAGACAAGAAGAGGCCAGAGTGAGAGAGTGGCACAGTTCTTACCGAGAGGATTCAGATAAGGTATTAGGCAGCATCTAACTATCACGTTCAGATGACGGTGCTCTCCGGACTTACGGGTGTATGTAAGATCGCTAACAGACCGGAATCCGAGGTTCCGCACGATCAGGACAGCCTGTCTCAGGTGGCACGACTGCCAAATCCAAGATAAACTGCAGGCAGACGGAGAATTAGTTTGATGGGCACGCGATCAAATTGAACACCTGCAGCCTCATCAAGAAAAGCTTCCGGGGCGAACCGCCACCTGGTGCGCTAGTGCGCCGGTGCGCCAGTGCGCCAGTGCTGATCCCTGCTTGCCGTAACTTCCGAGCTACCGACGCCGATAGGTTGAGCGCCTGAGGCATGAACTTCTTACAGCATGAGGCCAACTGCATCTCTGCTTCTTCATTTCACAAGTCTGTTGAGCCTTGCCGAGCCGGGCAGTTGTAGCGAGGCTAGCTAGTATTCCCACAGCATTGGCGCAGCCGTTTTTATAGACTCGGCCCAGTTGAGCCGCTTCCGGCAGATGGGTTGTAGCCAGGTTGGGTTAGGTGCAAAAGGGCGCGAGCATGACGCTGAGAGAACAAGCCATCACTTTTCTGCCTGGATAGCCGCTTGCTGCTCCAGCTAAATCCGACCATAGTCGAGAAAACCCGCCGTGACTGTATCTACCCGAGCTCTTAGCCATATGAACGCCCAACACCTACGCCATGTACATCCACGCGGCACGATCCTATGAGATGCACCTTTCTCTCACACCCTCACACTCCTCGACGCCTTCCCAACCACCTTCACCAGATCCGCATAAGCCTCCTTATGCTCCCCCTCATCCTCTTTGCTCTCATCCTCCTTCTTGCCCTTCTTCACATCCTTCGTGATCATCACCACGCTCGTCGGTCTTTTAGTGTTGCCCGCAGCACCCAGCTCTGCCCGCGATGGCACGTAGATGTAGGGTATGTTGTGGTCTTCGCAAAGCACAGGTATATGTGAGATTACATCCATTGGTGAGATGTCTGCCGCCAGAACGACGACAGCGGCCGGGTCGGAGACTGTAGAGGAGGGCGCCGCGGCGGCGGATTTGCGCAGGGACTTGACGACCTCTTTTACGCCGCGTTTGAGGGCCTTGTGTTTCGCAGCTGTAAGAAGCGCGATTTCTGTCAGTAAATGTTCCCACAGAAGTATAGCGACGCAATCGATCTTGAGCGGCTCGTCCGCCGTACGTGCACCAGACTGAACAACCACCCGTCAACCTTGCGCGCGGAAAGTTCATCATAATGTGCCAAACCACCACCGAGCTGCCCGCATAAATCTCCCTCGAGAACCACCTACCCTTCTTGACAGATTTCAACACCTTCTTCCCCGTCTTCTCATCCGCCAGTGGATTCGCAAACGGCACCAGCGCGCCCAGTAGCGGCCTCTCTCCCACCTCCTTCGCATCCATATCCACATCCCCCTCCGCGTCCTTCACAGCAACAGCAACCACCACATCCCCGTTCTCCTGCACGGCCACCGAGCCCGGCTTCTCCGCCTCGAGCGTGTTCAGCAGCGAGGTCGTGACGTCCTTGCTGCTCTTATCCTTCTTGTCCTTTTTGGACTTCTTCACGCCGTTTTCTTCTGTGCTGCGCTTTTCCTTCTTTTCCTTCTTGTCTTTTTTGTCGGAGGACTTGTCTTTGGCCATTGTGAGGTATGCCGAGCTTGGAGCGGTACAAGTGGACTAGGGGAGTTGAGGGCGAGAGTTGGGACGGTGTTTTGGCTGTTCGCGCTGGCTGGTGTGGCTGCGCAATGCAGTTTTGACGGACTGCGCGAAGCTTCAAAATTTCGATTTCGAGGTTCGGGGCGTTTGGCGCTAGAGGTTAAGCGGGATAGTTGGCTTGGCATTGGTCGACAGCAAGACGAAAGCATTCAGCACAACTCATGTTACGGTAGGGCACAGCAGTTGAGTACGGTCACTGAATTGACGGGTGTTTTGTTTGGCAAATGCTGTATCAATTTGGTTTCCATCATCAATCCTGCCCCACGAGCCTTTCCGTATGCCCCAGGTCCTACACTAAAACAAACGCAATGAAAGGAATATATAGTACGCCATAGGCAACTCAACTGTGCAGAGCTGTTGATGCTAAAGTTCCCAAACGCCTTGAGCTTCCTCGCCGTACAAAGCTCAGCCAGCGAGCTATCCAAGCTCAAGCTGCAGTCATGCGCAAAGAAGACGAATATGTATGGACGGAGAAGAGGATGAAGTGCATCGTGAACAAGAACAACAAGACTGGTTGCAGTGCGAAGATGGGTATATCCTGGATGTCCGGCCCGATGCAAGTCGCAATGCAGAAGGAGATTCGTTACGAACGCAGGAATATCAGCACGACCCAGGCGGAAGGCATTAGCCGTGGATCCAATGTTGAAATGATTCGTGAGTGACGAGATATGCTCGATGGGTTATACCTCAGCTGAGGTTCAGTCGGTTGGTCTCCTCGTCCAGCTCTTGCATGTCGATGTCGTTGATTTGATAAGTTGGTGGCGACGCTGGTACATCCTCGTACATCGGAGGCTGTTCCTCGTCCCAAGCGATTCCCAGTCCGCTCCGCTCCGTGAGGAGTAAATTGAACTGCGTGCGCAACACCCGAGCAGCACCGGTCGGTGTAATCTGGGTCGGTTTCTTGAGCGGTGCCCACTCCTCCGCGACGACCATCTCGACTACAAGCAGGTGTTTAATTTCCAGTCCGTTCGCAGCTGACACGTCGCAGGCCGGCTTGAGCGAGGGGTTGACTGCCGCCTTGAATTCGCACTCGATCGTTCCGTCGTCGAAATCAGACTTCCACCCGCTCTTGATATCATCGGATCCGACCACGGTGGTGTTGTCGTGAGAGATGCCGTTGCCTTCGCCGCCCACTTTAGCGGCATGCTTCGGGCAGGCGGGAGAGACCATACGTTCCAACTCTTCGATACGCCACGTGAACTTTCGCAGTCGCCAGCGCGTTTGGGACTCCTTGTTCTTGGTCGACACGCCGGTCATCTTCATCTCGACCTTGAAGTCGCCAATGGGGTGGATCACCGGGGGTAACGTGACATGCATGGTGAGGTTTGTAGGCGGGAATATCCGCATGGAGTTTTTGGGGTTTCCCGGCGTAATGGCACGGCATACTTTGATAGGCAGCTCGAAGGTGACCTTGTCACCGGTAGATGTGATTGCCAGAGCCGAGAGCCTGTACTCGACGGTTACAAGCGAGCCGTGCGTAGTTGCGGGCAAGTGGCCTGGGATCATGTAGCTGCACGGGAAGCTGTGCTCGCCCTTATTGAGTTTCAGTGGACCTGCGCTGAATGTCCACTTCTTCAACTCGTCGACTTTGGTAGTGCAGTCCGGACAGTGCTGAGAAACAGGTTTTTTCATTGTGACCAAAGCCAGGAACTGCATGCAGAATCTGTCCAGAGTGACGCTAGGATCCTTGACGTCGACTTTCAACTGGCACGAAAACAGCGCACCGGAAGACTGCGAAGGCGTGCCGAAGAAGACGACTGGCGGCGACTCAACGACGACGTTCAGCTTCAGTGGCCTGACGGGCTCCAGCTTCGGGCTGCTCTTCTTGCCAATGCCAATGCCGAGGCTGTGACGCTTAATGATGTCCATGCTGTCGCGTCTCTTCGATTCCAACCGTATGAAAGGTTCTGAAGGCGGTTGAAGTAATGCTGGAGGAGCCTGTGTCTTGGAGGAGTTGGTCTTGTTTTTGCTGGAAACGAGCACAGATGGTGAAGAGCTCCTGCCAAACAGCATCCGGGTTGGCATGGTCAAGGAAGACGGGGAGGAAGGCGGTGAGGCAAGCTTTCTACTAGTGGAGGCTTGTTCACGAGCTGGTCTGGTGCTGATTGAGACGGGGAGCGCAGGTGAGGAGCAAGACAAACATAACGGGAGGTGTTGAATTCACACAACTCGAGGGGGCGTGGGGTGGGCATGGCTGTTTATGAGGCAAGGCGAGCTGAAGCACGGCTGATGACTGTTTGACGTTTGACGGTGTACGAAGGCTTGTTACGGCGATGGTGCCATGGATCTGGCGGCCAAGAGGTCGGGAACGGTTCTGCAGCTGTCACAGGCACACGAAGAAAAACTGAGTTACAGCGGGGCAGCCCGCACAAGCCTCCGGGCTCACGACTGCATGGAGTTGCCCTACAGGGAAGAAGCCCATCTGACGAAGCCATGCCTCGCATCATTCCCCAGCTGAGGCGCTGACCAACCGGCAACTCAGGTCCGTCTTCCTCCAATTGACCCAACGTATCGCTCCAAATCTCACGAAGTCTTCACCAACGACGGGGACTGCCAAGCGGTACTTCAGCTCGTCTCGCGCTGATGTCCGAACACCCCTTCCCTGAACCACACACAGCTTCCTGGCTGGTTCGGCGTTGACTCGCTCGTGATTCAATGCTGACGCTAACGAAGTTTTGAACCAGACCGGTGAAGCTTGTCGAGTCAAGCCACCGAGAATTTTCCAATGGCCTCTTTTTAGGCATTCGTGCCACGACCTCTTCCCCGCGATCTCAGCCCACGCCGCCAAAAGGAACCGGACCATCCCCCGTGCCGCCGCGTTGACGATCAAGAGGGCACATCTCCGTGGAAACCGTCATGCACCCCAGATTCTCCTCAAAGCTTCAGGCCTTCATCGTTGTCGAACATGTCGTCATTATGCTCCAGCATGCAGGATGAAGCTCGAGAACGTGCCTAGATCAACGACGCCAGGTAACCATGCATACTTTTAGGTAATTGAATGCAATTTTCGTTTTCTTCTTTCGGTTGACCGTTGAGTCCACTTTCGTCGTCCGTTCCGTGCGGTTTCTTCTCGGGGCCCGCCGCCATCGAGTAATAAAGTTCCACGACAGGGCGCCGGGGGGCTCATTGCCGCTGCGACCAGGCCAACAACAGCATTTCTCTTACTCGATCGTGACGCGGGCGTGGGGCTGCCCCGGAACCCATGCCGCCTGCAACGTGGTGCCAAGCCCGCTTCAGCCACACTTTGGCCGATCTTCCGTCCCGTCGGTCGGCCCCGAATATGTCGCGAGCGCTTCGGCCTTTGAGCCTCCAACGCTTGCGCGGTTCGTTGAATACAACATCATGCCGTGAAAGTATCGGAAACGACTTCCAAGGTCGGTTGCTCTCAGGATCGTGGGGAGCATCGTCTGTACGCGGTAGGACGCACACCAGCGTGATTGCTTCATATCTTTCTCCTCTTTCCTGAGTGTCGTTCCCGGCGTTCGTTCATCAAGAGCATCGGCCGCTGATCTCGCAAGGGGCAGCAAGAGCTCCCCGTGTTGCGGGTGAAGTTTTACCACGACGTCTTGACGAGTAAGAATATTACTCATTCAAATATGCTTATGTCTTCGGAGCCCGGTTGTTGTTCCGGTAGCATTACATAAGTTCCTCATAACATTACTGGAAGCGAATGGTACGAAGAGGCTGGTCGCAAGCTCACAATATCTGTTTGTTTACAATCAGAGCTTGGCAGGGGCTTCTTCGAATGACATTTTAGCATTTCCCCATCTATAACAACAGAATTTTCCCATTCCTTCTCTGCCTCTTGCCGCTGATCCGAGCGCGTTTGAGGACTTTGTTATCTATCATATTCAGAGTTGGGCGCGTAGTTTTCTAGTCTCAAGAACTCGCTGTGCCATCGTTTGTAAGGGAAGCTTGACGGCGGCTTGCGGTGCCACCTTTTCATCTCTAAGTATGGCGTTACCGGGACGCTGGAAAGGCACAGAGGTCTCGCACGGGTAAAATTCGACTCCAGTCATAGGACGTTCTTCAAAGAGTTCCACGCTCCAGCTTGTAAAGAGATGTTGCCGCTATAGGCCACAGCTTGCAGTCCCAACTTGTAGGATCGCCTTGCACGGATGGCTCCTTACAGCTAGGCCAACAAGCTCGCAAGCCGATGACGGTCAATACAAAGCGGTCCCTCAAAGATGCCCTTAAGATCAGGATCTTAGCAGAAATTATCCGCTACCCCTCTCATCCCACACAAATTCCTCAGATACAAGCATTGAACAAATAGCCCCTTGGAAGCCGTAGCTGAGCCGCTGGTGCCCAGGCTGGGCTCGTCTTTGGCACTCCGAACGCCTCCCATGTACCGTTCATGCCATGTTTCGTAACCCTTGAGCCTTGAGGTTCCCTCTAGTAATGTCAAGCCCAGCGTAGGATACACCCGCAGGAAATCCTGTGTTTTGCACAGACCCCCTATTCCTCCATAGCGTCCACTACCTTCACCTCCTGCGTCGCCGTGCTGTAGTATCTGCAAACACATCAGCATATTCCCCTTCCCTCGCACCAATGGAGACTAGAAGAAGCTTGAACTCACGCTTTCATCTGCACCCTAAACTCCGCCATCGCGACCCCGAACATCTTCAACAGCGCTGTCTGGTTCGAGTTGAGCGTCTCCCCCTCTTTACACACTGTGTACTCCGTGTCCAACACAACCTTCCCCTTCACCAGCTTCGTCGGCATCCCCCACTTCCGCACCGTGACCTCCAGGCTATGCGGCAGCGGCACGTCGTCCTCTTCAGCCAGCTCGCCACCCCGGCTGTGCACCACACCCTCAGGGATGGTAAAGGTACGGTCCGCAACCGTGCCAGCGCGGGCATAGTCCGTCTGAGCGTACGCAGCAAAATGATCCAGTATCTCCCGCGGTTCCCTGTTCGTGAACAGCAAGCCCACATTTCCAGCCAGATGCTCGGACAGCTTGGCGAGGTTCGGAAGGTGCTCGCTCGAGGCATCGGTCCCAAGCGCCTTCGCCATAACCTTCGTCTTGCCGAAGAAGATCCTGCTATCCGCGAATTCAGTCCGCACGTCTTTGAGGTATGTGTTGCGCATGTTTTCGACGGAGAAGACGAAGATATGGGAGTAGGTGTCGGCGGCTTCGCGGACGGCGGTGAAGAGGCGTTCTGAAAGCTCTTTGCCTTTCTTTTCGACTTTGGAGAGGTGGACTACTTTTGCGCGCTTTGATTTGGGCATCTTGGCTGTAGGGAGAAGCTGGGTGGTGCTTCGAGGGTGGACTGAAGCTTTGGATGCTACCGCGAGTCGCAACTTTGCGGCGCGCAGAGAAAAGTTGAAGTGCGCTGTTCCGCCAGGGCAGTTTTTCGCGGGCGGTGAGCGGAATTGCCGTCAAGTCAACCTTGGCTTTCCCGTGATGACGCCCGCAGCTATGCCAAATAATCCAACTCGAACTGCTTGATCATGGCACGCAAATGTCTCTTTTGAGCTCGCCGCGTAGCTCAGAATGCCGCCCCGAGACCTGAAACATGCTGGGGTTCATGGACTACGTGCAGAAGGCCTTCCTTGAAGCGTCCAACTGGAACCAGGACAACTCGTACTCCACCTTGACAGCGACAGCTCAGGGTGCGCCATCCTACCGACCCAGACACAAAAGTTCCAAATTGCTGACACTGCCTCATAGCTCTGCTTGACTTTGAGACGCCTCGTGGGTTGCGCCTGAACGTCTCCTCGCTCGCCTCGCCCAAATTCGCAAGCTCCTATACCATTGGGACAGTCGGTCTGGTTGACGGATCGCTGTCATATCTTTACTCTTCTCTGCCGCTTGAGGCCAGGTTCAAGAGCAGCGAGATAGATCTTCACCATGTCATACAAGGCTATAGGCAGCTGCAGGACCTCAGACAGCCCGACCAATCGTGGTGGTGGGAGGTGTGGCACAAAGGGAAGAGGGTAGACCGAAGAGGTAGATAATCAGTTCAGTAGGACGCGGGTGATTGAGTACTGACTGTTTAATAGATGCACTGTTGTACGGCCGTCTCTTCCTCCCTCAATCCACACTCGAGGCGCTGTACCTCCGCCGACTATCGCCTTCGCGGCAGCTGAAGGTCTCGGCCGTCAGCGATGCCAGGCTGCCGAACGGAGGTACCATCCTCACCTTGCTCCAGAATGACTTCGGCAAGTACAGCACAGAGTATCTATACAGCACGGACAGCGCGCTCCTCGGCGTGCGCGGCCTCTACAACTTCGGGCCGGACCCACGGACCGCGACGTCGCAAGATGTGCAAGCAGAGCCCGTATACGGCCGGTTCAGCGCAGGCGCCGAGCTCTACTACGGCCTCCTCAACAAGAGCGGCGGCATGAGCACCGGTATCCGCTTCACAACTCTACCGCAGCATACCGGGTTCCCTTACACCATGACACTAACCCTAAACCCCCTGATGGGCAACCTCTCCTCGACCTACGCCGTCAAAGCCGGGCAGAACCTCGCGCTATGCTCGCGCTTCGACTTCAATTTCTACTCGTACGAGAGCGACCTGCAGCTGGGCTGCGAGCTGTGGCGCCGACGCGGGCCGGATGCGGAAGTGGAGTGGGCGTCGAAGATGCTGCGGCCGGACTGGGAGCGACCGGCTGTGCGGCCGGACGGGGATGTGGCGGGGGTGCTCAAGGCGAGGGTGGATCAGAACTGGAGGGCGGGCGTGCTGTGGGAGGGACGGATCAGGGAGCTGCTGTTCACGCTGGGCACGAGCTTTGATTTGAAGCGGAGGGATCACATCTTCAGGGCGGTTGGGGTGGAGCTGCAGTATTCGACTTGAGCCGTGCTGCGGCGGCCAGGCGATATCCTGGAGAAGAGAGCATCGACGCCCTGGTGGCTTCATCCTCAACTGCCCGACTCGCGACCTGTGCGGCCGAAGTCGAGGATCTTCCCGGCGCAGTCATGCGGTTGAGCAGCTTCGGCCACTTTTTGCGGTCGGTGCGGTCGAGAACGCGGCAGAGCATCGGACGGGTGTGCATCGCGCCCTGTAGCGCGTCGTGCCTGCAGCGGCAAGCGAGAAGCTTCCAATAAGGGAGCAAAGGGGTTGCAACGAAGGTGTTCATGGACTTCGAGATATTTAGATTGCCAGCAGGGAGCCTTCCTCGAAGACATGCAATGGAGGTTCTGGAAGCTCAAGAATCTTTTTACTGGGAGCTTAGGAAGTCCTCTCTGAAGCCTCCAAAGCGGATTCTGACTGCATGACTTCAGGGGCAAAGCGTTAGGAGCACTGTTCGTCTGACAAGCTGACCTCGGGGCAGCCGTGCCTGTTCCTGCGTTAGGGCAGAAGAAGTGCAGTAGCCAAAGCCTCGATTGGCCAATGGCATGACCCTGACGGCGTCCAAGCATGCATGGTTCAGCCGCTGGCGCTTTTTCCAACGGCGCCGCCTGCCTTGCGGGGCGTGCGCCCTCCCCGATTGCGGAGGGGAGATCGTACAGGCGGAGATGGGAGCAGATACGATGCAGACAGAGCGTGTCACGACAGAATGATGCTCTTTAGGACGCAACAGCGCGACTCAGTGGTCGACTTCCCAAGGTAGAGCCGTTGATGGTGTTTTGACGGGCTGTCAAGCGGACTGGCGTGGGCTGCGGGTTGTTCCTTAGCGGGCTGCTTGGCGCTGCACAACGTCGACCCGCTCGATCCAGCCTAGCGCCCCTTATCGCCCTCTGCCGCCCGCAAGCCCCTTCTCACCCTCTTCTTCCCCCCCCGTGAACTCGAGCCTCGACACACTCATTTCTTTCCAACCCGCGAGCTTGAACTGGATTTCGACATTGTCGCGAGACTGTGTGCGATTCCTCACCACCTTCCTTTCCATTGTTGCTTTCATCGTGGTCTGCCGTCACTCCTTCCGGCGCCCGACACCTTTCTTTATTGGCATAGCGCCGTCCCTTCCTTTAATCCACCTGTCCGTCCTTTCAGACCCGACCTCGGGGATCGCTACGCCGCCGGTTGGACAATCCCTTCTTGCTTGGAAAGAGCAAAGCTCGGCTCCACTCGCTCGCCCGGACGACCTCAGAAGTTCCGCGAGCATCGCCCTGACTCGAGTCTGCGCTGGAAGATCTTCAAACCATCACCTTCTCACTGGCAGAGTCACCGGAGGCCCTCTCTTCAATTGTTACGACTACCACGACAAGCCATCGTTCGGCTGGACACGTCACCTGTATAGTACAATAGTCATCACTCCAAACACCAACGAGACCCCGACTGCTGCCACCGCATAACCAAATCAACAATGGATCAATTGGAGGCCACCAGGATGGCCTCCACGCCCTCTCCCGCGCCTTCGGCCGGAACCACCCACAGCTCCGCGTCACGTAGACCGCCGCGCAAGAGCACACTAACCCAGCAGCAAAAGAACCAGAAGCGACAAAGAGCCACGCAGGATCAACTGGTCACCCTCGAGATGGAATTCAGCAAGAACCCGACGCCTACAGCCGTCGTGCGGGAGAAGATAGCCCAGGACATCAACATGACAGAGCGCTCCGTGCAGATCTGGTTCCAGAATAGGTGCGCTCCAAGGCGATTGCAGCCACACGAGGATGCTAACCTTCCGTAGGCGAGCGAAGATAAAGAATACCGTGAAGAAGAGCATCGAAAGTGGCGAAGATTGTAACGACATCCCAGAGTCTATGCGCCGCTACCTCGCTCTGCAGGCTATGGAGTCTGGCAAATCCCTGGGAAGGGACTTGCTTGGGCGAAGCGGAGGTGGGATGACGCCTTACGGAAGCGGATCGATGCTATTCAACGGTGAGACGAGCTCAGCGAAAGTTGGTGAGTAGTGTTCTCCAACCTTCTGTCCATGCGCATTTGCTGAAACTGCGGTAGTCATTCATCATTTCGCATGCCGATCGCTAAGCGTCGGCTCGTGGCGACGAGTCGGCCAGAGCGCGATGGATCTCGTGATCTTCTACTCACCGGAGAAGTGCTGCATCACATACTACATCAACAATGATTCCGCTGGTTATAAGATTGAATACCCGTTCTCCTACATCAAGAACATCACACTCGACAACGGGGATGTGCTAAGCAACGCCGAGGGCGCAGCCCAGCGGCCGGGAGGTCTCATCGTCGAGTTGAACCGACCCCCGAATTTCTTCATGGATTCATCTGGATCCGGCGGCTTCTACCAATGTGGCGACTTCACAGAAGACCAACAAGCTTCGCAGGTACTCGTGCACCACCTTGGCGGCCACCCGAAGGTCTTGAGCACGCAACTGGCGAAGCTGGTGACGCTCGATTCGTTTCAGAACCGGCATAGCGCTTTCGATCCCAACACACTCGCCGTCTCAGCGCCCGTCTCGCCGATCCATATTCCCCGTCCGGCATCGCAACCCAACCACATCACTCATCCCCAGCATTTCGGAATGCCGCCGCCAGAGCATCCCTTCAGCTTTGGTCTCCAACCGCGTGGACACAAACGGCAGAGAAGCCGATCCGTGCCAGTCGCCATCGACTTCTCCATGTTCCGGCAACAACCCATGCCGTCATTCCTCATCCAGCACCAGGAGCACTCTCCGTACATCCCGAACCCCGACATCTTCGCGCCGATACCGCAAGCACCCCCTATGATGGCGCCGATGGGCCCAACCCTCAGCATCGACACATCTGCCGGCTTCGGCATGGACTTCCGGCAGCATCCCATGTCGGCCACCACCGCCAACTCGCCGCCCTCAGAATACGGCACGCCAGCCTTCTACACCTCGGGTCCGGCGCCCGACAACATGGCCGCCGCAAACTTCGGCACCCCCTTCAACATGCCCTTCCTATCGCCGCCCATGATCGACCCCTCGAGCGTAATGCATCCCTCCGTCTCCCCGCTCTCACACATGTCCCACCACGGCGACCCAGTGATAGCGGACCAGTCCCCGCCCATGACGTCCATCGGGCGCAGCGCGTCGGCGGACCTGTACCGCATGTCGCATGACCCGACCATGGGTGAGGATGCGCTGTCGCTGGGCGACTTCTACTCGAAGCAGTCGTTCAGTCTCCCGTTTCGGGATCCGCCGGGTCCGGGCGAGGAGGTCCTGGATGAGTTCGATCTGAGCAACCTCGTCTCGTTTGGCCCCCTCGATCCCTCGAGCTTGAGCCCGGAGACGGTGTACCATTCGGGGGCGTCGACGTGATGTTGCTACCACCATCACGTGTTCCACTTCACGTGTTTTTGCGTCGCCACGCGCGCGCGGTCTTCTTTCACCCCGCCTTATATTTCGCTGAAATTGCGACCGTGGTTTTTTTCTTTTGAGTCTCTGATCTTTTTTTTCTTCTACCTAATGCAGGCCTGAACGAATCTCTTGCGCGTGTATCTTGGGGCTGCGGGGCGTTGCCGGGTTGTGATTGCTGGGGACAGGGGGACATACCACAGGCCAGGATACCATGCGCGCGACAGGGCGGACTGGTGGATCCTGCGCCACTTCACTGGGAGGAGGTTAGTGTTTGATTCTGTTTTGGCTGTGTGCCACTACGTTTTTTGCGAAGTTGGGGCATCTCGTGTTGATGGAGGCTTATGTTTGTATTTGTGAAGCCGTCTCGTTTGTGTTGTTTGGAGGTCTTTGGTGAAGCTTGGGAGCGCGTTGGGTATTGAGTGCCGGACAAGGCCGCTGGGCGGGCTAATGGTATTGAAGCCAGTTGTGGGGAGGGGGCGCTACTTTGGGGCTGCAGGTTGGATGGGCGATCTCCGCGCTGAGCGTGTAAAGTTGAAATAGGCATATGGATTGAGATACTGGTTCAATGTCCACGGCGTGTGTCCTGTTGCCCGTTTCGCTCGCCGCTTGTAAATGTCTGTTCGGCAGGGGTTAATCCTCTGCTGTGATGTTTCCGGCCAGCGATGTTTGTTCTATGCGTATCTACAACTTCTACGACCAAGACGATAAAACCGGCAAGGCCTTTGTCCTCAACAGAAATTCTTGGGCTGGACAAGTGAGTCGGTGGCGTTCAGTATCGTCATATCCAGGTTCAGCAGTAGAAATCCGAAAATGGTTTTGTTAGTGCATCAAACGACTCCGTTCAACTCAGAGCAACGCAGTAAAATCTACACGTCACAGCTAATCTATACGACACAAGCTGCCTGTATCCGGCCGCGACAACAAGACGCCAGAACGCCTCTACCATGCATCGTCAGTTGAATACCGATCCTCATTTCTAAACCTCCTTGATCTTGCACTGCCAACCCGACTCCTGGTTCAAAAGGGGAAGACTGCCAAAGATGTCAGCCTACAATCCGCACTATTAAGCGAGTAAGCACAAGAACAGGACCCACCTCGCGCCCAAACACCACCCCAACTCATTGCCCCTAATCTTCTTCGCGATCCTCACCTCCCTATCAATCGGCATCTCATACCCGGTATGCAGCAGCGCCAGCATGAAGTTCAGATCCAGACAATGCTCCGCGCGTCCCCTCAACTCCTCGACCGCGCCCTCGATGCTGTGAAACACATCCCACGCCTTCTCGCCGTGGCAGACTCGAGATGTCAGCTCGTGCAGCTCGCGCAGCGTAAACGACTCGGGCATCCCGAGCGGCTGGGTGCGGTCGTAGAAGTAGGAGAAGAGGTAGACGTCCTCGCGCGCGAAGGTCTTGGACAGGGAGGGCTGGTGCACGCCGTTGAAGGCGCAGGGGGCGATCTTGCACTCGGCTTCTTTGGCCAGCGTCTTCTCGGCCAGGGCGCGACATTGCGCGGGGGAGCCGTCGCGGGGGCCTTGCATCAGCACTTCGAGCTCGGAGCCGTCGAGCTCGACTTTCACGGTGCGGTTCATGCCCGGCGCGATGCAGGGGTTCATGACGGGCTTCGTGGCCCAGGCGCCCGTCTTGTCTTCCTCGTGCATGGCTTGCGCGACCACTTTGTGGATGTTGCGCCGCGCTTCCATGAGCCCGTAGCCGAGATACGAGTGCTGGTAGAGTGAGAACTCGCGGCCGCCGAAGTTGAGCTCGTACTTGTGATCGCCTTCGTGCATCTTTTCTGGGAGGCCTCCCGAAGGGCTGCCGGGGAAGGTCGGCTGGAAGACGATCTGCGTGGAGCCGCCGCCGAGATCGAACACGGCGGCCGTAGGATTCTTGTCCGGGCCGCCGATCTTGCCGAGTAAGTAGTTGGCCGTGATCCAGGCGTAAACGCCTTCGTCTTTGCCGTCCATGACCTCGACCCCGCCCTTGGAGTCCGAGACGAGGGGGAAGGGGTACTCGGTCTCTATGCGTCGGCGGACGGCTTGGAGGATCTTGTCGCTCATCTCTGGGCCGAGCTTCCGGAGCCCGGCTGTTGCTTTGACGGCAACTGGGGTGCAGGCTTGGAGCTTCTTGGGCACTTTCTCTACCGCGACCTGCAGGAGGACATCCAGGCTCTTTGCCGCACCCTCTGCGTCAGCCCCATAGGAGCTGAGACCAGACCCGCCCGGCTTCTTGTCCGTCTGCTTGAACACCTCATCTTCCAGCTCCGGCGTGGGGCCGCAGTTGTTGAACCTATAGACGTGTATCCGCGAGCCGGTGCTCCCAGCATCGATCATGAGCGCATACTGGATGAGCGGCTTGTGTGGGCTATACGACTTCGTGCATTTGCTCGTTGCAACAGACGGGTCCGACGCAACGTCTCCTCCGGGGAATGGTGCTCCGCTGCGGTCGCCAGGCGCGAGATAGAAGATGACGAGGAGCAGAAAGGCGATGATGCCACCTGTCTTCAGGTATCGCGCCCTTTGCCCTTGATTCATCCACACGGTCTGGATATCCTTCATGAGGCCTGGCGGGCCGATGGAGTCGGTGCAGGAATGGGAATGTCGATTGGGCTTCTCGAACGGATCGGGGACGCTGGAGTGGGCGGGTAGCGAGACGGATGTGCGGCGGCGTGGGCTAGAGTTGGAGGTGAAGCTGAAGTAGGACCACAAATTGGGACGTCTGGAGACGTCGACGCTACTGGACATATGATGGCCGCGAGCCTAGTGGAATGGAATGCAGGCTGAAGGAGGAACACCTTCAACACGTCAGACTCGAGACATCCGGGGGCCAAAGGGGGTAGAATGGCAGGGTTTACCTCGACATCAACGAAAACGAGCGTGGACTACTGGGTGCCTGTATTGAAGCAATTGGTCAATCGGAAGGACCCCTATGCTGGGGCAAAAAAGACGCCAAAGATAACTCTTTCAGCCACAGTTTTCGCCGCCTTACCCGTTCCTGCCTCGCCCCTCAACAGCAAGGCTTACGCGCGCCACGCTTTACCCGAACGGAAGCAGCTTTGCCGCAGAGCCGCGAGATCAGATCGGATAAGATAAGATCTCGGCGACCATCGTGGAATCTGCAGGAACGCTGCGTAAACGCGCCACCCAGTGTTGCCTCGTGATAATACATAGAACGTTCGCCGCCTTGAGCGGTTTCTAACCACAAAGCAAAGCACTGGTAGAAGCCAAACACTCACCGCGAGTACTGAGAACTGGTAGATTGCTTACGCCACATCATGGACGTCGAACTCTACGTCTACGACCTCTCCAAGGGCATGGCCCGACAGATGTCACGCCAGTTCCTGGGCATACACATTGGCGCCGTATACCACACCGCCGTCGTCTTTGGAGGCGTCGAATACTTCTTCGGCGCCGGTGTGCAAACATGTTATCCAGGCACAACTCATCACGGCGCCCCGATGGAGATAATACCGTTAGGCCGAACAGACCTCCCGCTCGACGTGATACTGGAGTACCTGGAGTCACTAAAGCAAATATACACCAGGGAGTCTTACGATCTATTCCTGCACAACTGCAACAATTTCTCGAATGACTTCGCCATGTTCCTGGTTGGAAGAGGGATCCCAGACCACATCACCTCGCTGCCACGGACGGTGCTGAACACGCCCTTCGGCGCGATGCTGAGGACGCAGATCGACAGCTCGATGAGGTCTATCACGCAAGCTCCTGTGCCGTCGCGGCAGGTCCCTCCAGTCAAGGCGGCCACAGCGAGGGTAACAAATGGAGCCTCGAACGGGACCTCGAGCAGGATTTCGAATGGGACATCTACCAACGGAGTTCCTAAGACCGCATCAGCTGCTTCGTTTGCCCCTGGTGAAGTCCACTATGCGACCACCATCGAGAAGGTGGACAAGCTACTAGCATCCGCCAAAGAAAAATGCGCCATCATCTTCTTCACCAGCTCAACCTGCGCGCCCTGCAAAATCGTCTACCCTGCGTACGACCAGTTAGCTGCAGAAGCCGGCGACAAAGCCGTGTTCATCAAAATCGATTTGAATTCCTCTGATCCCCAAATCGCTTCCCGCTACTCCGTCCGCGCGACCCCGACCTTCATCACTCTCCTCCGCGGCATCAAGCAAGAGCAATGGTCCGGCGCCAACGAAGCCCAGCTGCGCGGAAACGTCCAGCTCCTCCTCTCCGCCGCTTTCCCGCCGCACCCCCACTCATCTCTGAACCTCACGCACTTCCACCGCGCGAGCCTCCGCCCTGAACTCTTCACGCGGATTCCCCCGCTCGACAAACTCACCGCCAAGCTCGGCAAAGCGGCCAACGACTCCGCCGTCCTGGCCGTGAGAAGCTTCATCAGCACGCGCCAGTCCTCCGGCGCCATCGAGGCTCCACCCCCTGACCTCCCAGCTTTCGGTGCTTTCCTGCGTCGTGCGACGGAGGAGCTGCCCGCCGAGGTCCTGTTCGCGGCGTACGACCTGCTGCGCGTGAGTCTCGTCGACGCGCGCGTAGCTGGTTTCTTCGCCGAGGAGGCCGAGGCGCGGACGCTGCGGTGTCTGGTCGGTCATGTCAACGCGCTGGGCCAGGGGTGTCCGTACAACCTCCGCATCGTGACGCTCCAGCTATCCTGCAATCTCTTCGCCTCGCCGCTGTTCCGGAAGTTCCTGCTCGCGGATGCTGAGGTCAGCGAGCTACTGACTACGCTCGTGGCCTCCAGTCTGCTGGACTCGCAGCATGTGAATGTGAGGGTGGCGGCTATGTCGCTGGCGCTGAATCTCGCGTCCGCCGCGCATCGTGTGCGCATGGAGGAGAAGCGAGAAGCGCTGCCTGAGAGCGCTGCGGTGGAGCTTGTGGCGAGCGTGCTGGAGGCGCTGGCGGTGGAGCAGGAGAGTAAGGAGGTTGTGCGGGGGTTGGTGCTTGCTCTGGGTTTCTTGGTTTATATGGCGCCTGAAGGGGGCGAGGTGTTGGATCTGTGCAAGGTTATGGATGCGGAGGGGACGGTGAGGGGGAAGGAGGGGTTGAGTGGTGGGGATGCGGTTGTTAAGGAGGTTGGGAGGGAGATGCTTGGGAAGGGGCTGAGGACTAAGTAGAGGGGCGTTCCTTTCCCGCCCCTTTTTTTTGCATGGAGCTGCGGTGTTGAGGCGCTGCAGTAGGGATATCTTGTATCGTGAGAGTTAGGAAGGAATAGAGCCTAGAGTCATCGGCGGTCGAGCGCCGCGCTAGAAGGGGAATGGCATGGAATCAATGCTCAGATACAGCTCGAACCACTTTAACAACTATTATGAAACCCGTCACATTTCAGTAACGAAAGCATCCAGGGCTGGACATTGTTGGTGTTGATCAGTGCTCTAGTTTTGAGCAGGCAACACATGAGGAACAAGCGCGGACTGATAGCCCACACCGTGAAATTACAAATTACATTGTTTTCTAGTGGCAAACAAGGCTACTAACACATGATGAGAGTAACAGACTCAGGGAAAGCAACTTAAAGAAGCTCCTTCACTGGTCTCCAAGCGGTGGCGACGGGACGAAAGACGGCGTGGGCTACCAGACCGTCCGTTAGCCTGGCCCCCTGTACGCTTTTTAACGAGATTAAAGCAACGGCCTGGCTCCCTGCTACTCTTGGACGACGAACCAGTCTCTTGCCGTTTCAGACACGAAACATATCAGATCAATTAGACAATGCACAACGTCATCTTCTGACGCACCCTCATTCACTCTTCGTCGCGGTGGTTTCGATTGTCTACGTCCTTTCACAGCATGAGTGGTATCCGAGAGCGCTGGAAGACTCTAGGTCTGTGATAGCATGATCACCTCCGTAGGGCTGGTAACGATCTAGGGAGCCATGAAGCCTCGCTGCATAATCATTAGGCTTTGGAGGGAGGAAAATATTCAGAGGAATATTTCGATCTCGAAGACAGAGCATCCTGACACAGAGCGGAGCACAAGAATCTACCCAGATCTCGGAATTTTCGTCGCCTCACAGCTTCTTCGCGCTCTGCTTCTGAAAGAAACTACTTCTGCGGTATGGGATACCCAGGTGTTCTCCAGCGCCCTGGCGGGCTGCGGCGGGATGCCAAGAGCAGTTGCTCCAATGCCGCGTTGCCTCTGTCCAGGGAGTCGCGTGACTTTCGACACAGCCGCACACGGATTTTTTCTACGTTTCCACGTTCCATAGATACAGATTCTCGTAGACAGATTGTCGAGGTACGGTGTTGTCGTTAAGCTTGTTCCGTGCTGGAAGCGCTGGATATCATGCTAGTATGACTGTTCGCGTTTACCCGACTCGTCTGTTGTTTTAAAAGTGATACTGAGCTTCATTCTCCTAACCAGCTATGGGGGCCGCACTCCGAACACATTATTAAGCAGTCTTGTGCCGCTGCCACCGGAGTCTTACTGCTCTTGTGCAAGGGCGGTACAGCCATGACCTGTCCCACCGAAGCTTAAGATGTTAGCTGTCAACCTCCTGAATGCCCACAATGTCCTTCTCCTCGTTCCGTCCCAGTAGCCTACCCATGATACCCCTATTGTTATGAGTAGTACTCATACGGTTCTGCGTCGTGTCTTGATTGCTGTCTTCCTCCCCTTCGCTGCTAGTGCTACTCTCCGCTTCGGGACCCTTTTCTTCGAGCACGCCAAGCCCTAGATTCTGTATCGGTCAGAGACGGCGCCAAGCTTGCCTCTTACACCACAGTCTTACCATCTCGATATACGGCTCATCCACATCATTGCCCTCACTGAGTTGCTCTAGACTCCTCTCCTCCAGCACGCCTGCAGCTTTCTCCTCCTCCAATTCCACATTTGCAGCGGCGATCTGCGGCAAAAATGCTTTTAATCGCTCCTTAAGCGGTAATCCCCCCTCCTCCGCCTCGCCATCTAATCCCGGTGCCCACTGCTGCCTACGCATTTCCGGCTTCTTCCCCCCGCGAAGCGTGGTGATTACCGAGCTATTCTCGCTCTCGCTCTCGTCGTTTTCCTCGAACATGTCTTCGTCTTCACTTTCTGAAGCAGTGTCTGTGTCTTCAGAGGACTCAGCAAGCTCGCTGCTTTCAGCATCACTATCGCCGTCGCTGGGCTCACTCTGCTCGGTGTCCGATGATTTTTTCGTAGAGTAGCTTCCGTCGGTGGAGAAGAGGGCGGAGGCTTCGGATATGGATGGGCCAGAAGTAGAAGCATTACTGTCGCTGTCACTGCCAGACGACGCTTCCGGCGCTGAGAGCTTGCGCTTAACGATGCGGCGGG